TCCAAGCAAGCAAACTCTCTAGCAGTAAAACCTCCCTGTCACAATTATTTATACCCACAGCTCTATGAAATGCATCATTATTAAGGTATATACACATTGGTGACTACTGTAGGCAACAAAGAGCAGATCAAAGAGCCTATAGAAGCATCATAATAATTATGTATATATAATACTAGCATTCAAAGTACACTCTGCAATGTTTGCATACATTACTTTCTCCCGTTCCTTGTCCAATACTTCTTCGTTAAAACCTTAATATACCCTTTACTGCATGCACCATTTCCTGCCTTTTTGAGTTAAACCACAAAGTAAGAGTGTTAACTCTTTTCATAGGTTTCCCAGTAGTTCTGGCACAGTTTCCAAATACTCCTCAGTTCAGACCACCTGCGTGGTTCAGTGTGGCTGTTGGTGTAGCACTGTTACTGCTACAGTTTCTTCTCTTCCATGGAGAGAGTACCTGGCACTGCTCCAGAGGCCACTCAAAGAAAATACTGTCTTTTACAGAGCACATGTCTAAGAAACATGTTACTTTCGTCAGGTATTTGTATCCACATAGTAGCTATGTAGTATGGGAAGGTGGTGTTACTACAATGTGTTAGCTACATATGATTACGACCACCGAATTAAAGTGCAAACACTCGGCGATCTGCGCATGCGCAGTAGCACTAATTGATGGGCTTGGCTATTTGTATACTCGTGGTCTCCTGCGCGCGCTAGTAGCTCGCGGAGAGTCTGACGCGGGTTAGCTACAGTAGTAGATAGCATGCGGGAGTCGATAGCTACATGCCAATCGTGTGACTTCCTGAGCCCCCAAGGTACACAGAGCGAGCCAGGTCGCGGTAAGCCCAGGTTTTTTCGCTTGTTTTCACGGCATATCTCTCGAACGCAGTCGTTTCAGGAAAATCGCTCTTTTATTTTTCAGGCTCGCGTAGTCCTGGAAGCCGGTGGTATCGCTAATAGGCCGCCTCGTAGCCAGAATAAGCGTCACACAGACAGGTAGACAACTGTAACCCTCGCTGCGCATGCGCGCCGAGGGTTTAAACATGTCAGAACAAGTATTAAGAAAATATTTACAGTAAGAATTTTCCTCAACTTGCCATGTTTGTACAAGGTGCCACTTTATGTCATATTTGTTGGAGGGGTGAAAGGAGTACGTTATGTTATGCCTGAAGTCTTGGCAAATCCAATCCTGAGTGATTCATTTGGGTTTTCTGATGAGAAAACTTCACTCTTTTTCCTTACCATTGTCTTGTCCAACCCTATTGGAACAGCATTACTGTGAGTGCAACTAACTAATTAACTAGCGAAGCGAGCAAACGCTAGCTAGTCGTCTCAATGCTGGAGTTTTTGGGCACTGCCACTGCACAAAGCTAGATACTGAAATGTTTTAAGTGATTCGTGTAGAAAAAATTTGCGTTCTCTTGCCAAAATACATTCTGGTGAGCAGGCTGGAGCTGAGCAACTGGCGAAGTGTTGCCTTACAAAGGCCCATAATTTGCGAAGCTAGTCGAATGAATCAACGGGCACTGTGACGAGCACTGCACAGATTCGTGGATGCCATAATTATAACTCCATGGCCTGTGACCTTAACTATAGCTGCTACTACAAGTATGCAAGGCCAGAAAGTACGTTAGCTACCACGTGCAACGTTACAGCTGGATATGCACAGACTGGTATGGTACATGCACATACCTATACAATAGATGAAATTTCCTCGAGAAAAGGACCATAAGCTAGCAAATTAATAGACAGAAAATTCATGTCCTTGGGGGAAGCAGTAATCTTGACACATATCTGGCTTATGGTTCGTGCCGAAGAAAAGTGGACTTTGCAATAAACTCAACGCATTCGAGTGTGATTCCGAGGCTAGTGAGGGTTTGGCACTTTTTCATTTCATTGTACTGCAGTTACACCCTCCTGTATTACAAGGTCAATGGCTATTGTCTGACAGTGGTGGGACTGACATGTACGATCACATCACTGCTGGTAATGACAGACTGGCAGGCCATTGGCAGTGATCCCTGCACAGAGCACAGTTTGTTCCACCATCCACAACTGGCCGACCAGTACAGACTAGAGCTAGCAGAGTCTAACATCTCAGAATCTGGGACGGTGAGTGTCCAGGGTCTGCTGGTGGTGGAGGGAGAGGTGTACCAGATGGCAGTCAACAGGTGTGAGTCTGCAGGGGAACACTGCCACTGGACACCCAACTCCCTAGTGACTGGCAAACACTGCAGTGACTGCCAGCCAATCTGCAGGAGTCCTAGACACACTCTCAACTTTGTCCAGTTCATTGTTGGTTTTATTTTCTTCGCCATCACTGGACCACTAATGTATGTTGGGGTCTTCATCTTGGTTTCAAACTCTGTGAGCAAACCATTTCAGGTGCCTGTCACTAATCCACAGAAACTACGTCACACTGATGTGTTTTTGTATTGTAGGGAATAAGTGCTGGGGCGACCACAGCTCTGATGGGAGCAGCTAGAGCTGTTTTTCCATTGCTAAGTAAGTAAGCTGGTTATAATCAAGTTGTGTGTGGTACTATTAACTGTTACTAATTTTATTGCAGTGGATGCTGTGTATGAGCATGTACAGAAGCGAACGTACCTGGTGATGCTAATTCAAGTGGGGGTGTTCCTGCCATTACTGATTGGATTGTTCCTCCTCTATCCCTGGCTGGCAGGGAGTCGTAAGGTTGACTACTCTCAAGAGAATCAGGAACAGATGGAGGAGGAAGCTGACGAGACCACTGGACTAATGATGACAAAAAACACAGAGCAATAGATATTGTGTTACTTTCACACTCTTTGTCTTGTAAATATCGTCAAATGCTTTATGCACAAAGTCAGTCTGATACTAAAAGTAAGAGATTGGACTTATGAGGTTATACGAGGTGGTGTAGCTAAAGGTTGAAGGAAATCCCTTGGTACTCAACAAGAACTGACTCTGTGAAATGTGGAGATGTCATGTTACAAAACATAAATGGGACAATAAGATCTACACTGAGACACAAAGTTGGCACGAAATTATTCCCCTATATATCTTGTCTCTTGTTGTTTACTAACTTGTAATTTCTGTTTTGATTAACTCTTATCATACAACATTAGTTTACCAAGTTTCATTGTTGGAGGACCTACCATAAGAAAGTTTTTATTGCCTGAGGCTGTTTGTTGTTGTTTGCAAACTTGTTTTTCTTGTTTTAATGCACTTTGATACTATACCTTAGCCTATGTATGCCAGAGCCTCCATAAGTCCATAAGAATTTATATGTTGGTATAATACTAGGCGTTAATATGTAAATTTATGCTTTTTAAGTAGATACCCAAGGAGTCCAAAGGGTTAACCCTCGGCGCGCATGCGCAGCGAGAGATTTCTGTAGTTGAGTGTGTGTGTCTGTCTGTTACTCGACATCTCATTTCACGAGCCATCAATTGCTCCACAAACATACTACGTATTTAGCGTCAGGTATAGGTCGAAATGTATGTGGTTTTTTTAAACACGAGCGATAAAGCCAATTGCTAATTAGAACAGGCTTACCGCGACCGGGTCCGCTCGCTCCGTGTATCTTGAAGGCACAAGAAGTCACAACCAAGGGCGTGTATTGACTCCGGCATGCTATTTACTACTGTAGCTAGCCCGTGTCAGGTTCTCCGCGAACTACTAGCGTGGAAACAAAGATTTAGCGGTAGCGCGCATGCACAGTGCGCTGAGGGTTTGCATTCTTGGTATTAGCTGTACCTAGTTACACTTTATTTCTTTCTATCATAATGTATGGCCTGGGGATATTTGGTTGTTATATTGGTTGTTTACATGTAAGCAAAAGTGTTTACGTAATATAGGAGGATCCACAGAGGAGGAACATCCCCATCAGTAATGGCAGGAACACCCCCACTTTAACAAATGAACAACGTTCTTCGAATTAAAAAGGTGTGGAATATAGGGATGCAAAAAGCAGGAGACATGAATGTGATGAAGTAGTACAATGGATGATGCACACTTTGAACTGACATCGCTTGCTCGTGTAGAATTAATTTCCTCCATACAAGCCCTACATTGTCGCGAAGTACGAGTGTTGTATGATGCATAGCTATGATTATTCATAAGCACATTAGACAGGTAATACCATCTACTCGGCTTTTAGTTATGACTGCATTGTGCGAAGGCTAAGACTTCTACATTATTGCTCAACTGACCAGTTTTACAATGCTGCATAATCCTTTCCCATTGTCCTCGCACTTCACTTGTCCTCGCACTTCACTAAACAAACAGTGTAAAGGTAGTGACAATATAGGGCTTGTGTGCGAGCGAGCGATGTCAGTTCAAAGTACAGTGGAACCCCTCTAAGGCGGACAACTTAGAGCCACAACATTTGTCCATTATAGCGGGGTGTCCTTTATGGAGGGGTTTTGCCTGATTATACAGTATTACACAATTTAATGTCACTAATTCACTGTTAAAAGCACCCTAGACGAGATTAAACGAGATTATGATGATGATGATGATGATGATGATGACAGTAGTCAAAGTCTATAGAAAGTACTCATCCAGTGTATATACTCTGTCTACCCAAAGCTACGGTATATAGCTATATATTGTAGTTAAGGCGCTACTACGCAGGAATCAACATCAGAGAATTGCCACCCAGTCTGCCGAGGAGAGAGAGGGTCGACTACAGTTAGTTACTATACGACGCAGGAATCATGTGCTACCTGCGCATGCGTCAGGATAACGCGCTTCGATCTACACACGGTGCGCGCTCGTGCTCGCTCCCGCTCGCCAAAAATGCCATGCGTTCGCCTACTAGTACGAACTAGTTGAAGCTCTTCGCACTCATGGACGTCTCTAAAGCAGTTTCTGTTGTAACCATGTTGTTATTTATAATTCGCTGGCAGGGGGTGTGGCAAACTGTCCGTTACGCGGGGGTTTTTTCTACGTTGAAAAGCATATGGGATTGGTTTTACTGTCCGTTATACGGAGTAGCGGGGTGTCCGTTCTGGAGGGGTTATGAACGTACAGAACTCTATGATAAAACAATCAGGACCTGCGAGTTTCTCCGTTATAACGCGGTGTCCGTTGTAGAGGGGTGTCCGTTAAGCGGGGTTCCACTGTATATGAAGCCGTCATGGATTGTACTACTACATCACGTTCACTAGGTCATCCCTGTCTTGTCTTGCTTTTTATGGCATCCCTATATTCCACACTTTTCAAATTAACGTGGCGATTTTCCTGAAACGACTGCGTTCCAGAGATATGGCGCGAAAACAAGCGAAAAAGCATGCGCACGCGTCATGTAAACTTTTCGCCGGAGCATGCGCTACGCCACATTGGTTGTATGAGATCCACTGGCTTCTCTTTGGATAAACATGCTGAGCAAGGTATATTCGCAATGTAGCATAATAGTTCAGGTGGCGAGCAGTTTGTGGATGCAGCCATGCCTTCCCATCTATAAAACATCTGGCGGGAGCATTGGAGCACAGAAGAGCGGATAGATTGAATAAAGCAAATATGAGAGCCTCTGAAACACCTGAGCAATTGCTCTAACCAACTACCCTGTGATACGGGGAGACTCGTGTTACTCGCTCCGTCGTCCGCCAGCATACAGCGATACTACAACTCGCGCGTTTAGCGCCGAGGGTTTGCACTTTAGTGCTTTTTATTTATTCATTAATTGTTAGAGGATCAAGCCTGCAGTGCCAGAATAAGCGTCGACAGACACAGACAAACAAGTATACTGTATACCCTCGCTGCGCTTGCGCGAAGAGGGTTAGCTAACAGATAGCTAGTGAGCACGCGCGAGAGAATCGATAGCTTCTTCGCGCATTGAGACACAAGTTGTATCACTAGATATGGGCCCTTGCTAGTTCGCACAGCGAGTCGTTCTCGCCATGGTTTGAAGCTTTTGCTCGCAGATGACGACCTGCATAATCGCGCAGCGTAGCGCTCTATTAGCTCTGCGCATGCGTGTTCGCTTATATTAAGTGCCTGGGGTTGTGGTCGTCATGGAAATGATGTAATACACATGCGCACCAAGTTTAACCTCCATGCGTGCTACCAAGTTTGAGGAGTGAATAGAAGAAAAGTGCCTGAGGCTATTTGTTGCTGTGGCTGTCATGGAAACAATGTATTATGCATGTGTACCAAGTTTCACCTCCTGCATGTAACAGTTATACAGGCTACCTGAGGCTTTTCAAACAATATGCGATCGTCATGGAAACATGAAATTATAGTTCATAGCAAACCAGCCATGGGTAGATAGATAGAAAGATAGATAGAGAATAAAAACCACCACCAACATAATATCCACAAACCCCAAAATATGTGATCCTTGCACAGAGCACAGTCTGTTCCACCATCCACAACTGATTGACCAGTACAGACTATATAGAGCTAGCAGAATCTAACATCTCAGAGTCTGGGATGGTGAGTGTCCAGAGTCTGCTGGTTGTGGAGGGAGAGGTTTACCAGAAGGGTGTGAGTCTGCAGGGGAACACTGTCACTGCATGGATACCCAACTCCCTAGTGACTGGCAAAAAAACTGCAGTGACAGCCAGCCAATCTGCAGGAGTCCTAGACACACTCTCAACTTTGTCCAGTTCACTGTTGGTATTAGTTTCTCTGCACCAACAATGTACGTTGGGATATTCCTGTTGGTGTCTAACTCTACGAGCAAACAATTACAGGTGTGACTGGCACTAATCCACAGAAACTATTATATGGCACTGATGTGTTTTTGTATTGTAGGGAATAAGTGCTCTGATGGGAGCAGCGAGAGGTGTTGTTCCATTGATAAGTAAGTTAGCTGGTTATAATCAATATTTATTATGTATGGTACTATTATGTGCGTTAATCTGTTATTAACCCTCGGCGCGCATGCGCAGCGAGGGTTACGTTAGTCGTTCTGTCTGTCAGTCTGTCTGTCAGTCTGTCTGTCCGTCCGCGCGAGTTCTAGCACTACAGGCTACGAGGCGGCCAATGAGTGGCACCAACGGGTTGTGAACGACGAGAAGATTGATATTAACTGCGTTCCAGAGATGTGGCGTGAAAACAAGCGAAAAAGCCAACGCGCGGTCGATCGCGCACGCGCCCTCTCCTGCGGGCTATATAAATAGCTATATAGCGCGCACGCGTAATTCGCCGGAGCATGCGCTTGGTTGTATATACGATCCACGGCCTCCTGTCAGTTTTGATCTCTATTCCCTATGGATGAACGATAAACATGCTGAGCAAGCAATAGTTCAGGTGGCGAGCAGTTTGTGGTTGCGGCCTTGCCTTCCCATCTATAAAACGTCTGGCGAGAGCATTGAAACACAGAAGAGCAGATAGATTGAATAAAGCAAATATGAGAGCCTCTGAAACACCTGAGCTATTGCTCTAACCGCTAATGCAACTACTGTGTGTTACGGTGAGACTCGTGTTACTGGCTCCGTCGATGACGCACGGCGCAGCATACAGCGATGCTACAACTCGCTAGTTTACCGCCGAGGGTTTGCACTTTAGTGCTTTTCATTTATTTCAGTGGATGTTGTGTGCGAGCATGTACAGAAGCGGACTGATGCTGATTCAAGTGGGGGTGCTCCTGCTATTACTGATTGGATTGCTTCTCCTCCATCCCTGGCTGGCAGGGAGTCGCATGATTGACTACTCTAAAGAGAATCAGGACAAACAGGGGGAGTTTGAGAAAGTGGACAAGACCACTTGACTAATGACAAAAACACAGACTAAAAAAAACCAACTCTTGTGCTTGTAAGAATCATCATATCCATTACACATAATGTCGGTTTTATAGGACAAGAGAATTGACTTCTTATGCGAGGGGTAGCTAATGGTGTAAGGAATAATAAGGAATAATAGAGTCAGGTGTTACTAAAAAGGTAAAGGACTTGTCTCTTGGTGCACACCCGTGCAGAACAAGAACCGACTCTGTGAATGGTGAAGATCAGAATATTATAGCTACCTATATACACCAAGACACAAATTTGACTCAAAGTAATTCCTCTACATCATTGTCTCTTGAATGCATGATACAAAGTGGGAAAATATAGTCAGTCTTATATATACACATAAATATGCTTCAACCGCTATTAATAATGCTCACACATGCCGGCAACTCTGTTGGAACTCTACTTAAGGCTTAATTATGGTTGGACGTAGGTATAACAAAGCTAGCTAAAGGAACAGAATGGTGTACACTTGAGTAGAGTATTTGAACTTCCGCTGCTAGTATTTTTATTTACAGAATGATTATTAGTGCCACGAAACATCAAAAGCATTACAGAGTTGTGATCAAAATTAATAATTATGAACCAGATGCTAATGACATTATGGTCTAAAGGTATGAGTGTGCTGTGCTTAGTTTCTGCTGTATTTGCCAAAACAATGTCAGGAACAGTCAGAGGACTTTGAATAAACATGTTGGATAATAATTTCTTCATGGACACCGAGATGATTTACCTTTTGCCCTCTAGCTTCCTCAACCTCCAGGATTTTAGGATGAATCTTGCACTTTTGGGGCACTACCTCTGACTATAGAATGAAAGCCAATCATGTACTTCACCACCGCCTTCAGTCAACATGGACACAGTATTATAGTCCGGAATACTTATACTTTTCTCAATATAATTATGGGCCCAAAAAGCAATACTGGTCTCTCTGCACACCTAACATGTTACTTTGAGGAACCCTTGCTGAATTCTAGTGCAGGGAATTGCACAATCCAATTGCCAATTTAGGTAACAGGAAAGCTATTCATTCCCAGATTGGGGTTCTTTGTTTGTGGAGTCTATTGGCACTAACAGTTCTTACAGCATCAATCTGTTTGATGACACTCACAATGATTGGCGTCATTCTTTTCCTTGGTCGCTCCAGTTTTGAGTTGCATAACTGCAGACAACAGTAATGTAATAATGATATAGGCAATGACAGATTCAGAGCCTTGTGTACCTTGTCACCATCACCATCTGTGTACTCATCACCTTGCTCGTCTATTTCTTCACCCTCACTACTCTCGTCTCCCTCCTCATCATCACTCTCAGAGGAGGAGCTGAGGTCAATGTGGCTAGTGAGTCTAGCTGAACTCCAGACAGACTCTCTTGGAGCCAGCACGTGGTCTTCAGGGCTGGCCGGAGCCAGGGAGCTAGGTCCGCGAGAAAAAATAAAGAGAGAAGAGAGAACATTTTGCAGCAAGGGAGATGGCCAGTGATGAGAATGAGAGACAAGCTTTTCTGGGGCAGAGTGAGACTTTGCCGTTTGCTGTCGCTCTTCTACAGTGTCCTTTAGCACTGGAGTTGATGTAGTGTGAGTAACAGCAGTGGGGGTTGAGCTGTCATAGAGAGGGGATGCAGATGATATTATTGAGGAGTGTTTGGCTTCAGATGTAAAATTGGGTGATAGAGCAGGGACAGACGTAGTACATAGGCCTGAGGTTTTGTGAGCTACATAAGTATTAGAGAGGGGGAGGTTAGAATCGTGTGGCATGGAAGTAGCAGAAAGGTTAGTTTTAGCAGCGTTGGGTGTGATAGGATCAAAGGACACGGTATCAGACATAGCGGAGGCAGAGGCAGTAGAACGTAAGGAAGTAGAGGTAGTGAGAGCAGTGGCAGTGTCAGACGTGGCTGGGGTAGGACGAGGTGAAAAACAAGTAGGAGCAGTTGAAACAGCTGTGGTAGACACGAGAGAGGTGTTAGAACAAGCAGTTGTAGAAAGAGCAGAATCACTGATTGAAGTGATAGAAGTAGCAGAGGAGGGATTTGTTGATGGGAGAACATGGAAATGAGTTTCAGAAAGATCTCTAGATTCACAGGAGGGAAAAGTATTCGCAAGTAAAGAAGTGGCAGAGGCACAGTTAAATGAAGCAGCGTCAGTGGTGGTTAAGGTTTCAAAATATGCAGTGGAAATGGACTGAATGTGTTGGGCAGTAACAGAGGTAGTGGCAAAGGTGATCATGGTAGAAGACAGTGTATCAGAGGTGATAGACTCAGCAGTGAGGGCAGAGTGAGAGGAAATAACAGAAACTGGACTGGAACCAGTAACAGTCAGAGGGCAAGTGGATCCTGCATTGGCGGTGTGAGTTCCCGGGACAGCAGGAGTTAGAATATCATGCTCAATAGGGGAAACACTTGAATCAGTGAGTGACGGGTCATCACAAGGAGAAACAGTAGATAAAGAACAGTGATAGAAATGAAGTGGGGAAAGACTTGAGGCACATTCAGTTGAGAACACAGAGGATGTGGATGAAGACGATGTTGAGGTGGAATTGGTAGAGATGGGTATATAAACACGTGTTGAAGGAGGGGCTGAAGTAGTGGGAGGACAGGTACGAGTGGCAGTGATTGAGGTGACCATGGAAGATGTGGGAGTGGCTGTGGTTTGGAGTGTGGAAGAGTGTGGTGGAAGGATTGGACTCAAAATGAGGGAGCAGGGGGAGAATCGAAGCCGGATACCAGATAGCATGAAAATTGGACCGTCGATAAAAGAGTACACCACCTTCATGGGATAGGTGAAACGGCAGAAAACAAAACTAGACACAGTACTCTCGGTAGTGGCTGGTGATGTTGGTGGAAACACCAGTTTAAGGGTGGGGAAAAGTGCAAGAGGAGCTCTGCCAGTTGGGAAGGGGGCGAGATCGGGATATTTGGGGCGTTGAGGTGTACCATTGGTACTACTAGATAAGAGGCTGTGAGACTCAATGCTAGCTGTGGTTTGTGACTGCTGGCATTCTTCCAGGTGGGATAATATGTTGGCCGCATCATGAGAAGAAGTCTGCAAATCCCAAAATACAGATACACTGAGATTGCAGGGAACAGGTTTACATACCCCATCTGTAGATGGAACACACTCGATTAGTTGAGCCATAATTGTGTCTCGTGTGGTTCCCTTGGAGCAAGTCCATGGCTGAAATGTATTACGATAGGAGCAAGAGTACGCACCATGTTATCAGTTATCACCACATGTCTACCTGTTTTCCATGGAACCTGTAGTTCTCAACAGAGGTTTCTTCTAGCTCATCATCTTCCTTATCTTCCTTTGCTGCAACTTGCAGCAAAATCCTCTCGGTGTTGGCTAGACTTACAACATGGCCCCTCTGCTGCTGCCTCGACTTTAAGCATGTGCAGTCTGCGATATCAGCAGACTGGAGATTAGGACCCAACAGTGTGGTCGAGACTGAGAGCTTTGATAAATTAATAAACAATAATGAACTTAGGATTATTGGGATTTTGGTTGTAGCTTACGGGCACTTTCTCTGCCCTTTGAACCTTGGAATAGAGAGATTGGTTCAGAATGAGTAAATCAGAGACCTGGGCTGGTTGCTGTAGACAAAAGTTTCCTACACATTAATGTTGAGTATAGTTGAGTGGCTTACAAAATTATTGATTTTCCCAAAGAACGGGGTTGTCTCCTCTTGAGCCTGTAGGTGAAAGATAGTTGAAATTTCAAAGTCAGATAGTCACTCTATACGCTTCACTTACAGTGGTGATCTCAGGACGGATAAGAGTCGTCTCCAGAGCCATAAAATGCTCCTTGTACATTGCCTCATACTCTCTCACCATTTCAACATTCGTAATCTGTATATATACAGAGAGAGTCGTGGGAGGATAATTTTTCTTTGCTGCCTGAGCTTGTAAACGGTTATGTTCCGAGTATGTGGGAGTTAAGAAAGGGTAAGTTATAATTATGGCGATAACCCTCGCGTTAAACTGTCCCTATCTCAAAAGTGCACTTGGTGACCTGCAAAGGGTCGCCATGGGACTGGGTGTCCGTGTGGTAGACACCTCCTCCAATTGTTGTACATCTTTTTCTAGCTCCGCCCAATGTTCTGGATGCATGGTCAATGGCACTAGTGCTATTAGAAAAACCCATCCCCAAACACATACAGACAAAACAATTCTTCCGCTTTCTTAATGCTAGCCAAGGTAGGGCAATAATCTTGAACATAAAAAGTCAAAGTTAGCTCTCTGACCTCACTGTCAAAATCCCTGACTGTACATTTGTACAAGAAGAATGTGTATCCAGCAGTGCTACTGTCCTTGACAGTTAACCCAAAGAGCTTGCTGTTCTCTGGAGGTGCATACACCATCCCAATCTCTGACATTAGGAAGGAGGCCAGACAACACTGCAAGTATTTATACCAAGAGAATAATTATCAAATCCATGGAATATTTCTTAAGTGACCTCTACTAGGTGTTACACATGTTAAACGTTCACCTCTACACATGGTACAAGTTATCGTTAACTGTACCCACGGTAGATGTTCAAGTCAGACTTGTATTATAATATGAAAGTTAAAGCGACTCACCCTACATATTGTATCGTTCACAAAGATCTCATCTGGAGTGAAGACGAGAGAGATCCTCTGCTTGTTTCTCCGCGGTCCTCTCCTGATGATTGACCGCGCCACCTCAGCAGCCTTCACAGCAGGCAGAGTTGGCCATATGACCGGAGTACAGCCAATATACTGGGTGGGGGTGGAAAAACTCACTGACTGAATTGCCGACATGGATAACTTTAAAAGTGAGCACTTGATTGTTTTTTTTACACATGCAGTCAGCACACGTGATTGCTAAACAGTTACCCTTCAAACAAGGGTAACATTTCTTCATATTATATCACAGAATATTGAACAGTCACCCTTTTCCTCGTGCACTATGCACTGTAACTATTAACACATGCACAGTGTATGCATGATAGGGAAGCATTATGTTTCTCTTAGCACTAATAGCCTTCTCTCACTTAATATTTGTCCCACCCAAGTAGTAGCTAGCTACATGGTTCAGTTCACCAATCTCCCAAAGTGCTGGACAGTTTTAAACACTCCGTGGCTGTAAAAAGTATATACAAACACTAAATGCTCATCCATCAGAATGATGACTGTGGCTAAACAAAATGCTCATTTTGTTACACTTGTCCTGCCTTTTTCATCGTCCCTTATCCTGCAGAGCATGTGCACCTTGTATTGCTTTCTCACTTCCTAATGTACCTGAGTCGTTTCTTTACCTTCTACGCGTGAGACAGTCAGATACTTAAAAACATTTAGCTCTTGTAACTAAGATATCTAAGATTAGCTCTTGTAACTAAGATAAGTATTCACAAACGTACCTTCACATGAAAGAGCTTTATTCTCTCTCTCTGAATCTTTTTCATACGGTTACAGACGGCCAGTTCGTCATCCCTTTTCCTCGGGTGAATGTGCGCCGTACTATTTCTGGTGAACAGTTTCTTCAGCTTTCGTAGAGATGGCATCGTAACTCGACCGACTGTATTCTGGAGCTCGGTTTTCGCGCGTTCTTCGCGCGCGTGCGTGTGTGCGTAACCTAGATACGAGAGGAGTATGCGCATGCGCAATACTTTCTCAGTTCAGCCACGCCTATTTACGATCGAGAAACTATAGCTCGGCCGTTAACGTGTTGCTACTGCGCCCCACATAAATGGAGCCCACTTCAGCTCCTCCTCCGCCTGAGGATGACTTCGATCCGGACGACTATATCAGGACAGCCGTGACGTACGGCCGACTGGACGTGGTGAAGGACTGGCTGCCGCACCATCGTGACGATCCTCAGCGGATCTCACAGCTCGTCCTCTTCCCCGCAGCCATGTTCGGACAGCTCGAGCTGCTTAGCTTCTGCCTAGACTATGGTAGGTGTAACTAGCTTACAGCAGGGGTGCAGGTTTGACCGCTGTTTGTATAAACAATAAACTGTAACCCATGTCCTTAGCTATGACGTTTGAGCTACATCCCTAGCTCTGACATCAACCGTAGAGCATTAACAACTGAGGATACTACTCTAATAAGGACACCTTTTCCCCCCCCAAGAACAGTTGAAGGACCGAGAACCAGAGTGGTATATCCCTAAATGAATCATGGGCAAGGTATACTTTAAAAAAGTGAGATGTATGGGATTTTGCAAAAGATAGTCTCCTTCCAAAATGCATATTAATGGAATTTCATGTCAAGGGGGCTTTGTGGGTTACACCATTCTGGTTCTCAGCCCTTCACTACTCCTATAGATGTAAGCCAGTCGTAATATTATTGGCCAGGTGTATAAAATCCTACAATATACAGTTTTCTGTGAATGCGTTCTTTTGCATCTGTGCAGGAGATATCAACCACAGAGAGGAGCACCATCCGGTCTACAGGGGATGGGTGAGCTGAGAGATTGTCATTCATTTATGTACCGTACAGTGCGTATTGTCTCCAGAACCTGATGCATTTTGCAGTGAAAGGCATCCACATGAACGTCCATGTACCAGCTGAAGAGAACCAGCAGAATGGGCAGGTAGAGTCAGTATATGGCGTACAGCTCTTGTTTGCAACCAGCAGTTAGGCCACCAGTGACTATAATACACAAGTTGACGTGATTGTATTATTTCCTGGACCCACAAATGTAACATATTGATCCAAAAATGGTAGGCTGGTGTAGGGTAAAGTAGTGTAGAGGTGTTTACGTTTTTGACTCATACGTATTGTATGTGTACACTAGTTATGTGGAGAGGAGAACGTGTTGCGGATGAAGCTGGAGATCCACAGTCGACTGCTGGATATCCTGGCTGTCTTGCTGAGTCGAGGTGTGGACCCAACAGTGCCAGACTGCGAGGGTAACACTCCCTCGGGGAAGGCCTCCAGTCTCAGCAGCAGGGAAGAGTGCTTCCTAGATGGAGCTGTTCTACTAGGTAAAACCACTCCATAGAATTATGGTAAAGGCTACATACATATGTACATGCTTATTGGAGGTTGACTGTAGTACTTTCAATGTTTTATTGTATGTGCATTTTCTTTAACAGATATTCATGTGTGTACACATTCCTTGGAATCTGGTGGATCCCCTAAAACTCCAGGTAATGCTGCACAATTGAAGGTGTGTGTGCTGGTTCTGTATCATTTTGTCCCCCTTATGGGAATGTTTTCGGTCAATGTGGGGTCATGTTTGTTTGTGTAACTTACATGAGTTGATGTCTGCACAATCTCGCAATCTGCAGGTTTAGAGGCACTGAAGAAACTGCCAGAGGACCTACAGTGGCAGCTTGCCCTGCAGCCTCTGCTTGAATGGTACATGTTTTGCATGTATGTTGTGAAGATGTTGCTAGGTGCTCACAGAGACATGCTTGCAGCTTTTGAAAGCACCTCTTCAACACCACGCACTACCAGCGTTGACCAGCATGAAGAGAGCCACTTGTGGTGGTATAATTCGCGAGGATACCTAGCCATCTCAATACAGTTTTTGTATTTGTATGTGACGGGCACTGCACATACCGAAAACCCTCAGCGCATTGTGACGTGCACGTGTAAGTAAACGCATGCGCCAAGTCATACCCCACCGTTGTTCTTTCATGTAAGACCAAATTTCCACCATGATAGGGCCTACAGTCGGAACAGGTTTGACGTCCTGACGTTCTGCCACAAGAACAGGTTTGTGGACCTGACTCAGAAGAGGATGTCTTTGGGCCAGTCCGGCAGACCTCTCATGATAGACTCACTTCACACCCAGAGGTTCTCTCTTCTCCGGGAAATGATCCAGTCCTCATCCGATATCGACCCTTGTGTCTGCGCCCAGAAACTTCTCACCAAGGTACACATATACTAGAGGACACACTCCCAGGTTTCTCGAAGATGACAATGTTTAAGCAAGTATTTTGTGGCAAAAATCTGGCCTTACATGTATGTCTTCAAGTACATGTATGTCATACGAAAATTAAGCACTGCATGCACGTACATAATCGTGTTAACGACACACGTAATTTTGCCAAGGTTTACATATATGAAATTCCCCCCTACGAAAAATTAAGTGCTATCCACAGTCTAAAATGCCCACCTACAGGTGTATGAGTGTGGCCCGGGGAAGGAGACTCTGCTGTCGTACGCCACCAGAGCTGCAACGAGTGGTAATGCCAGTCTCCTCCCGTCCCTCCTCTCTCCCGAGACACTCTGTGTCCGCCTCTCCCACATCAAGATAGAGGGAGTCAACCTCGAGTCCGTACCACTCTCCTTGTTCAGTCCGTCGCTGGCTCACCTGGAGCTGAGTAAGAACCAACTGAGTACTCTACCAGTGGCCGATGCCCTCGACCGGGGGCTCTGTGAATGTCTCGAGGAGCTATCCATTGCCAGCAATGCCTTCTCAGAGTTCCCGGGAGACATCTTTCGACTCCCCCGTCTTGTCAGACTCGACGCCAGGAACAATGTAATTTCCTCGGTCCCAGTGAGCATGTGGACTGCTCCGAGACTAGAAGAGTTGTACCTGAGCAAGAACAATGTTGCGTGTCTCCCGTGCCCAGACTACGTCTACCTCACACCTGGAGTAATTGCCTCCGTCCAGCCGCGTCTCATGACCTTCTCTCACGGCTTGAGCAGCACCGAGACCAGGCACGTCCAGAGTGCCCGGCAGTCGTGTGTCACCCTGGCAGCTCCTGGGGAAGAGTCACAGGGAGGGGGATTTCGACTCAAGACCCTTGATTTGTCGGACAATCAACTGACCGAGATTCCGCCGGGGCTACCTTGTCTCGCCCCGCGACTCCGCACCCTGAAACTCAGCGGGAACCGCATCAATCACCTGGGGCACCCCTGTAATTATCCGCAGATGCTCGAGAAGCTGGACATGAACAAGAACGCCAGTAAGAGCTGTATCCAGTGGTGTGGCGACCCGCCGTCCCTCGTGTGTGCCCAGTCACGTCTGCGGGAGGGCAGTGTTCCTTGCTCTCACATCGGACACAAGGTCCTGAGCAATCTCAAGTTCCTCTTCCTGGAGGAGAACCAGCTGACCTCTGTGGAGCTGGAGGAACAGCAACCAATCCAGCACAGAAACTCCATCGAGAGTGTGTCTGACTTTGGGTCGATGGGGGACAGCGGGACCCACGGGAGAGAGAGGGACAAAGGTGAAGAGGTGCTAATGACGCTCATGTTCCCTCGACTGGAGTCTCTGAGGCTGAGCAACAATCAGCTGGAGAGGGTGCCTAGTGGTATACACAGACTGGTGGAGCTGCGAGAGCTGAAGTTGGATGGGAACACGGGCATCACTCGCCTCCCGAGCAACATCCACCTCCTCCAGGAGCTCTTCTTCTTCACGTTTGAAGGCATCAGTGATCCTGTTGTGAGCGAGCTGAGGAGCTGCAGCAATACCCCAGAACAGTTGCTCTACCTCAAGGCTCGCGAGAAAGAGTCAGTTGTTTTGTGTTGTATTTGATGTGTGGGCACATGAATGTCAGTCTTCTGCGCTGTATAACATGTCGCATGGTCACCTGAACAGAGTTGCCACCAGCAACTCATTATGCCCACCTATAAATACATGCCTTTTTCGCATTATTTTTGACTTTTGTAACATTAACGATTGGAAACTGATTGTGTTCATTATTGCAGCTACTGTCGGAACACAGCGATGCGTCTGTTTGTGATTGGCCACTTCTCGAAGGGCAAGACATCAGTGATTGGAGCACTCAGGAAGACGAAACAACTCAGAACGTTTGACGAGAGGGCCGACAGACACCTGGGCCCTGACTTCCACCTCACCGAGGATGGTGTGTAGAGTCTTAAACCAGTGTTGGTTGTGTGTACATGCCACGCAATGATACGCCATGTGACATGCTGTAGAGAGGCAGGGACAATGTGATTTTTGTACATCAACCGTTTAGTTTGTGAGATTGAGTTTTATGAACATAATGCAAGTGTGTGCATACACGTATTTCCCTCAGAGAGGCAGTCAACAGTGGGCATACAGTGTGACAGGTGGGTGTACAAGAAGGCCGGAGCTACCACTCAAATAACCTTCTACACCTGGGACTTTGCCGGACAGGTCACACACACACACACAAATAGCATATAATACATGTGTACGTAAACATATTTACAGGGCCTTAGTGTTTGGTTCTATGTAGATTTAGCTGTACAGTACGGTACAGACACACTCCATTTAAGGCAGTAGGTTGACAGTACATGCTGCATTGCCCTGTCCTGCCGTGCCGTGAAGATAAAACGCTCACGATATGGCACAGTGTGACAACATATTGTAGTGTAGTGCTGAACCAATTAGTGTCGCCTTTTGGCCGGTTTCTTGCGCGTGGTGGCAGAAAACGTGGTAACAGACGGACAGACAGACAGACCAAGTACTGCGCATGGGCGACTAGGGGTAAAGACGCACATGGTATACATGTACATAGTATGTGATGAGTGACTGTGCGTCCACAGGAGGAGTACTACCTGACCCACCAGTGTTTCTTCACCAACAGAGCCCTCTACCTCCTGGTCTATAATGTCACTGATGGAGTGGAGGGCATCAAGAGCCTCACAGTCTGGCTACAGAACCTTCAGGTCTACTACATACATGTACTACAATCCCTTTGCTGTCCACACACTCATCGTAATGTACTTGCATATAGACTGTTTGAGCTTATGGGTTATGGATAACACATCTGAAGTTGTAAGTGGTGATGCTAGGTATATGTTATGTGCACTCACTCTGTACGAGACTATTCGCAACGCACATGTAATTATTAGCAGTCACACACATCTATGCACTACACTAATAGGATGTAGTGCAATCTCTTTTTTCCTCTTGGCATCACATATAAAGAGATCAAAATCTCACTTGCTATACATGCTAGTACAATATGATGCAGTGTATTGTGTAGTAGTAGGTGGTCTACAATTGTTGTAGTGTATGTGTACACACGTGAGTACACAATAGTAGCATGTGTTTATATATGTACTGAGTACTGTAACGGGAAATTTTTTATATGGAGGTGAAATTTGCAGTTTTGTGGGCGAAAACATTATGTGCGAAAATTCTCGTTAACGTGTTTTATCCTAAAAATCTTTTTGCTATGCTATGATGCTGCAGGCAAATGCGCCGGGGAGCAGTGTGATAAGTGGTGGGCAAGACCCTATGGACGCTGTGCCTCGCACGGAGAGAGAGTGAGAGGCCAGAGTGTGCGCAGGAGTATGGTGAACTGGTACACGGCAACCGGCACACGCCACCTCTACCCACACTCATGCGCACACCTGCTTCAGTTTGTATCCACCTACACAATGGCAAGTGACTCAGGCGTCCATGGACCAGACAGTCGTGCATAGACTTCCTCTACGCCGTGGCCATGAAAATGGAGGTTCCAACATGCGTATATCTATTTCATAAACATACTGCGTATGACCTTATATTTCATAGCATGACCGCATCGATAGATTGATACTAGAGAGATAGAGAAATAAAACACCACACGAACGTGATATCTCATCATCCCAATATCCATATCACAACACATACACAAACTACACATGACTACGGCGAGAGCAGGACACTGGGTGGCCAGTCTTGAGACCGGGAGCATGATAACACTTAGGGACAATTTTAAAACTTCCGATAGTTCCGTTTTCTTTACCCTGTGAGTACCAGTAAACTGTACCTCTTGCATAAGAAAACGGCACTTAGGGATGTGTAGTAATAACCAAACAGATCCATCTGCGAATACGAATCAATCCTACACTCTTGTACGGAGGCAGAGAGTCTACCAAGAAAGTGTGGCAAGTAACGGCGTGTACAGTCCATCAGTGCGCAATACAGATAACTGCAAGCATAATTCATGGAACATTGCAGAGGCCGGGTACAGGTGCTTCCAAATACGGCACTGTTTTTATTATGTGGAGTTTTGGATAGTGTCACGTGTGAGATCTTGTTGATACCGATTTTCATTGTTGCCTTTGTGATTGAGTAGGGGGCGGGGCAAAAGGCAAGAAAGAGGAGGGGGGGGGGCAGGGACAGGGGGGGACCACCCCAGGCACCGATGAAGGAAAGAGAAAAATTGCTACTGCCTTTACTCTCGTCCGCCCGCCCCCCTCCCGACCCACCTCACCAGCCCCTTCGAAAAGGAAGACCTCGTACACCATAATTGTTGGGAGTGCGGCCAGTGTTGGGCATGACTCCCCCCCACCTCCCAAAGTGACCATCCTTGTCGCTAGAAGTGTTGCGACCGCGCCTCGGGAGTACACGCTAGGCAGAGCGCATGATACGCCAGAGCGCGTACTAACGATTAGGGCTTCGTCTCTTCCTCCCCCCGATTTCCGCCCACTGGCAGCGATGGTAAAAGGCTCTGCTTGTCGCTGCATCGCAGCCATCCACAGCCATGTGGACTCGGATCGACTCGCTGAAGCACCCATCTCCATGGTGCGTGCCACAGCTTGTAACTACTGGGAGCAGGGGATTGATGGGCTTTACCTAGCGCAGTGGTTTCCGCACTGGCCCTATCAGGCGGATTTCTACGAAAGGCTGCGCGAGATACCGCATCCCGACATCATGCAAGCTAAGGATAAGTATTACTATATCCCGACCGAGAACGCTCGTCCTCACGAACCTTGGACAACCACACAGCTACCGATCGAGATGGGGTTGAATAGACCGGTCACTGCCAAGTTCACCGTCAGTGACAATCTGCCGCGCTGGGACAAGGTGGGACGGGTGCATGAGGTGTTATTGAGAGTGGGGATCGCTGGCACGACGGAGTTGGATCGGATTCGCTTCAACCTTAACGGGAAAGAGTTACCGGAAAGTATGCTGCGCAAAATCAATCAGATGTATCGCATGAGTGGACCCCGCAATCGCTCTGGACCGACATACTGGTTTATCTTCCGGCTAGACCGGGCGCATTGGCCCCAGCAGGGAGAAATACGCTGGAGGTCACCTTGCTTGAGCGTGACCCCAATGTTCTCGGTAACGTTTCTCTCCGCGATGTTGAGTTAGAACTTAAATACTTGATGGGTAGGAGCTTCCATCGTGGTGATGTGGATCCAGACCTCGGTCCTTATGGATCTGGGGTGTCATAGGCGGGATCAAGGTGCGAAAAGGGAAGCGCACCTCAGAATCAGTCGCTAAAATTCGCTGCGTTTCCGTAATTTGTTAAATTTTCATCCAAGACAGACATTGACAGAAAAAAAAGACCATGCTATAATCTACATCCGAAACTGAAAATCTCATCGGTTCAAGTACTATAGCAACCGAAAACCCTATTCAAAAATTCTGGGGTTTCGTCAATTAAACAAGAAGCCTTTTTTCTGGTAAGTCCCAGATGAATCGTATGAACATTACCTGTTCTCAGGAAGGAGCGTTAAATATAAAATGAAAAAATGGATGAAACTGTCTGTTTGTGCCACACTTTTACTATCCGTCGCGCTGATAAGTGGTTGTGGTAAAGAAGTTCTACCCCTAGATCTGAGTAATTACCAACGCATTGCCATCGCCCCTTTTTCGACGGAAGAAGACTCTGCTGACATGGAGCGTAGGTTTCCTTTGGATCTGTCTACCCAACTTGTCCTCGTAGAAAAGGACAAAGAGTGGATCTATGATCAATCCGATACACTCAACCCAATTGGTGGTCAGCTAACAGCCCAGAACTTGACACCGGAAGACATCTTTCTCGATCCCGCCCTCGCGGCAAAAGTAGGACAAGCCGCCAATGCCGATATAATCGTCGTCGGCCATATCAAAAATCCGAAGATGGATGAGAAATACGATAGCAACCCGCTCTACGACATGAGTGCTCAGGCTGGGATATCAGGGACCACGAAATTTGTGATAGTCTATCAATGGGCAACACTTAACATGCAGGTGAAAGCCATTGACACAAAATCCGGGAGCGTTATCTGGGACAATGGTGGGTTTACAGGCTATACAAAATATATCCGTGAGTTCAACACCCAAGATCCAGCGAGACACAACAGCCGTATTGAGCCGGACCAGCTAAAAGCCGATATTAGAAGACATATGCTCAACCAAATCGGTCATCAGCTCGTACCGGATAAAATCAATAAACGTCCAGTACCAGAAATTCTGACTAAACCCGAACGCAAACTGGTAAGATCCGGTGGGAAACCAATTCTCTGGTAGGTGTTGCTGCTCAGGTGCAAATACATTCAACAGGGTGGGCACCAGTTAGGCAAGGTTGGTATTATGACCTACACACCTACGGTGTCCCCCGTCTCCCACCGCCGTCCATATATATAGAGCTGCCGAATATATACGAGCACGGCTCTGATGCCAGAAATGCCACCACATCAGCAATTTCCTCCGGCTCAGCGATACGTCCTGCGGGGAGTTCGTTACCGAGCTCTTGGAGGAGCTCCTCCACATCCTTGCCCGCCTGATCCGCGCTGGCTTGCTGCACATCGCGTGCCCGTTGGGTGTTAGTGAGTCCCGGGCAAATCGTGTTCACCAAGATCCCATCTTTGGAGACCGCATCCGAAAGTGCGCGCGTCATATTCAGAATGGCGATGTTGGCAAGGCTGACTGGGATGTTTCCGCTAGAAGGACTTGTTCCCGCGCCGCCGGCGATATTGATGATTCTGCCCCATCCGTTCTGGCTCATGTGCGGAATCACAAGCTGGGACATCCGCAGATAGCTATAACTCTTCAAACTGAGTGCATCATCAATCAGCTCCGTGGATAGGTCTAAGATATCGCCTCCCCTCGCCGCGCCTGCACAGTTGACCAAGATATCAACACCGCCGAAACGTTCCACAGTCTCGCTCACAACTTTCTGGCAGCTTTCCAGAGTCGTTAAGTTGACCGCAACGGCGTGTCCCTCACCACCGGCATCGTTGATTTCGTGGATAACCGCATCCAAACGTTCTTGGTTGCGGGCAGTGATGCACACCCGCGCCCCTTCACGGGCGAGTGTCAATGCACAACACCGACCGATACCCCGATTCCCACCTGTTACAATTGCGCGTTTTCCCTTCAATCCTAGGTCCATAGGTGTTCTCCTCTCTACGGAATGTGGCGATCGCCACGACTTATATCATGCGGTTTCTTCCGATCCAATTTTAATGATCATCTTACCCATATTCTCGCCTTTGAAAAGACCAATAAACGCCTGTGGTGCGTTTTCCAAGCCTTCTACGATCGTTTCTTCCCAATGCATCTTGCCTTCGCTGATCCACTGCCGCATATCGGCGTAAAAGTCAGGGGTGCGATCCGCATAGTCGGTAACAATGAAACCCTGTAACTTTCAGGCGTTTGCCGATGGCGGTGCTGAGGTTTTGGGACCAGGGGTCGGTTCAACATCGTTGTAATGCGCGATCATGCCGCACAAAGGAATGCGTCCATATATGTTCATCAGCGAGAGAGCGGCTTCGAGATGCGCGCCACCGACATTTTCAAAGTAAATATCAATTCCGTTTGGACAGTGCTGCTTTAATTCATCTACTAAATTGTCGACCCGCTTATAGTTAAAGGCTGCATCAACACCCGCCTTTTCCAAGAGCCAATTCACCTTCTGATCCGAGCCTGCACTGGCGACCACGCGACACCCTTTGATCTTGGCGATCTGGCAGACAATCGCACCAACCGCGCCGGAGGCAGCGGAGACGAACACCGTTTCTCCCGCTTTGGGTTCACCGATGTCCAGTAATCCAAAATAGGCGGTACGTCCGGGCATACCGACAGCACCCACGAAGGACTGGATTGGGGCGAGGGTTGGATCAATCTGGCTCACACTCTTTGCAGGAACAAGGTAATACTCCCGCCAGCCGAGTCCGCCCAATACATAATCTCCAACCTGAAACGATTCGCTTCCCGATTGAACAACCTGCCCGACACACCCACCCTCTAACGGCACACCGAGGTCAACATTTCTGACAACCCCGCGCATATAGGGATCAACCGACATGTAGATGTTTCTTACAAGCACTTCTCCCGCTTTAGGGGCAGCGAGCGTTACTTCGGCAATCTCAAAATCGCTTTCCTTTGGTATACCGACGGGACGTTGCTTGAGACGGATTTCCCGGCTTACAATTTCTGCCATTTTCTCTCCTCCTGAAAATTTTACAACAATTTGAGTTGACCTGCCAAGAGATATGGTTCGGTCAAGTATTGCTCCTCTATTGGGTATTCCCGCGGCAGATAGATTTCGACAGGAATTCCTATTCCATGGAGGTACTTGCACATAAGCGGTGCTACCTCTATCCAGCTTAACCCCCCCAATGAACACCCTAATGCCGGCATCGCGAGTGATTCAATCTTCGCTTTTTGAAAGCTTTTCTGTATCCATTCTAACCCGCTTTCAATATCCTCCAAACGCGATGGTGTTCGCCAGTGCCGCTTCGTCGCGAAAAGCAAAAACCACTTCACCGGATTTTTGATTGGCTTGTTAGGCTTGAGGTCTGTCAACTCATCTGGAACTGATGTCTCGCGCTTATAGAGATAAGGACGTGTTGCTGTAATTTTCTTCGCGCGGCAGGCTTTCTCGTATTCTACATAAACATCGGGAGAATTGCTCTCTAGCGCGCAGTGCCAATCCTTTTCCCATAACACCCTGAAGATTAACTGTAACTGCCAATGTTTGTAATTCGGAGAAAAATATATCTCCGCCGTCAACAAGCAAAATGTTGTCGCCAATCTCAATTCGACGCTGGGCTTGAAAGAATAGGTGAGGCTGACGAATAACAGAGAGTTGGGGATTGTCAATTAATCCCGGCACCCAATTTTTTGTTCCATCGTCAGCAACGATAACCGAACGAATGTATTCAGGCTTGACACGATCGGGTACTAAACATTCTGCCATAATTTTGCGTTTTGATCCGTCGCATTCCTTCCACCACTCACTTTTAATAGTTGCCCATTGTTGCTGAAGTATTTTTGTTTCCTCGGATGGGATATAAAATTGCGCTGTCTCATTGGTGGCATTCCCATCCGTAATAACAACCCCTGGTTCTCCCAAAATTGTGTTATCAACCTCCAAAACAGCAAGTTTTTCCGCATTGCTTTCAAGGATAGCTCGATACATCATAGGGTTACGTGGTTGAAAAAACAGATTGGCGTAATGCAAGAGATTGTTTCCGCAAATTTTGGGGATAGTCTTGCTTTTTCTACTGACGTTCTCTTTTTTATCCTTTTGTCTTTTAAACATCGAAATTCCCTGCACGTTTTCTATTCCAATTCTTTCGTGGGAAAGGATTCCGTGTTTAATAATTGAGGGTAAGTTGTCTATATGGGTAATATAGTAGAAACTCTTTGTCCTCATGGTTTTCTTCCCTTCAATAACAGCTTTTGCTTTGTTGAATTGGGATGTATTTCTCCATCTTCAGCAATACTTTGCTTACACCCCGGTTGCAGATAGATAACAATTTTAACACAAATCTAAGCCTCAGTAAACGATGGCGTAAATATGTTACTTCCCTCGCCGTCCGCAACAGCAAGTTTCGGAATATCGGAAGATGATAGACGCGCCTGAAGTGAGGCAGCAACAACATGGTTAACAACGATAAAACGCTGAATATGTTTCGGCTTGACCTGATCTGGAACTAAACATTCTGCCATTAGTTTACGCTCTAATTCCTTGCAATGATTCCATGAAATCCATGAGTTGGACTGAACAATTGCCCGCTGCGTCTGAAGTATTTCCAATCCTTTGGGTTGAGGGTGAATTTGCGTTAACCTGCTGGCAGCGATGCCATCTGTAATAAAAATTCCTTGTTCTTGCAACACCGTGTTCGCAACACCTAAAACGGCAAGATTTTGGCGACCTATTTTATTAATGCGGCCATACAGCATTGGGTTGCGAGGTTGAAAAAATAAGTTGACATAGTGCCAGAGGTTTTTTCCGTCAGGGGTAAATCTGCGCCTGCGCCTTTCAACAACCGAATTATTGTAAATTGGCGTATATGAGAAACTTGCCGCTTTAATCTTTTCATGGGAAAGAATTCCCCTTTCAAGAATGGAGGGGATGTTGTCTATATGTGTAATATAGTAGAGTCCTCTTATGTCTGAATTTCTCATAGTTGCTTCTCCTGAAGATGAAACGTGGAGGTGTTGCGACTTTATTTAATCAAATTTTTCTCCTTAGTGTGCTTGGCTGAATCACTACGCCCAAACAAAGATTTCGTCATCCTCCTCCGAATAGCCGATAAAAGTCGCCAAAACCGTTCTGGGTGTGTTCCCCTCTACAGCAGCCACTTGATGGATGCAACCACTGTTGAACAGGTAAAAGTCACCCTGCTGTACCTCGATTTGCTGCTGTTCAATCTTGTTTTGTGCGGCGTATTCGTAGTACGTACCGTTGGAGACGTGGGATTGCACCTCCGGACTCCAAGTGCACCGATGGATAACGGCGTGCGGACTATCTCCATCATGGACGGAATTCTGTATACAGATGAGACCCGCGAATTGGTGTGTGAAACGGGAAACCTCGAAGTTGAAGAGGTTGTCGTCTATTGCAACGTGATTGATGTGGGGAGAGTACGCGTGGCCCTCATAGTGGACCCGAAAGATTGCGGGACCGTAGAGACGCCCATCGGGTTCACGGGCGACCTTCACCTCCTTGTTCACCGTCAGCGCGGAGAGGCAATCGTAGAGGGTATCCACTGGATTGTCAAACCCGTCGAATAGGTGGCTGAAAAGTTCATGCGTGCTCGCCGAGTGTTGAAGGAAAGCCTCCTTGTTCTCGGCAGGATCATCTGATACCGCCAAACCTCCGCGTGCTCGGTTGACCAGACTCGAGCCGATATCGATCCGGCTCGGCAAGTTCTCTGCCGGGGTCGAGTCCGCCGGGTCACGCATCATACCTCGCTCAACGAATCGCTGCATTAATTCGCTACACTGATCTGGATTATACGCACCGCGCAGCGCAATACCCGCTATGCGAGCGTCCGCAAGGGCTTGGAGCGGATCTGCCTCATGGGCAAAGACGGTTTCTAGGTCCGGTTCTAGCACTGACCAACTTTCACTAAATGCCATTTTATGCCTCCTATGTTCTGTTGACATCTGACGAATTGAACCAACATCGGTTTCCGTAGGGGCAGGTCTTGTGCCTGCCATCACTATGCTTCTAGCTAACGACAGAAACCTCTCTCGCTAGCGCACCCATCGGATCCCAGGCGGGAAGAACAATCGGTTCTGCCTCAAGCGCATCCTGTAGCTCGTTAGGTAGATACTCCTTTCGCGCAGCAATCTCAAACATATATTGGTCAAACCAGTTGTCATTCATCAGGTAGAACCCCTTGCGCCCGCTATCGGCACCCCAACTGTTTTCAACCCGCCAACGCCGCGGAATCTCTCTGCCGTTCTCCTGTATCACATCCACACCCGTGAATAGCATCGCGTGGGTCATCAGGGTCTGGTGGTACTGGAGCCGCCCTGCCTTGTCAAGGGTGAATGGTGTGTCGTAAATACCTTCGTAGTCATACAGTTTCGCGTCCCAAAGACCGAGATTGCTCTGCATCATCTTCCCAACATCGCACCCCATCCAGACCGGTTCCCCGTCCATAATGGTCTTCATCGCTATCTGCTTCATCAGGTCGATATCGATATTCAGGTATTTGACAATTGCGCCGCCCTCGACATTACCGAGACATTCAACCGTGAAGGTTTTACCGATGGGACTTGTCGGGCGTGGGTCGTGGACGAGGCAGACGTAATCATCGACAGGAACGGTGATATATTTTTCTGCGAACTGTTGCGGTGTCATTTCCCCATCGCGGTGAAATTCTTTGTCCGCGTCGTTCCACTGCCAATCGAAATGGGTTGGCGGCGTGCCGAGATGGATGGACAGGATGCGGTGGATGACCGTGATAATCTCGTCTTTGGCATCTAACAGTTCATCGAAACTCGCATCTTTTGATGCCATATCACGAAGCGTCTTTGCTCCCTCACGCAGCTTATTCAACAGGATGCGATTCATCCGACTTGAGCTTGACGAACTCTCCGTCTCAGGCATAAACGCTTGAGGCACAAGTCCGTGTTTCTTGATCAGATTGACGAACATATTCCACTGTCCGCCATCCTCTAAGGGACTTTCAAGTAGCCATGCAATGCACCGATCGTCCACGGGACGGTCTACCATCTCGATCATCCGTTGCAGGAAATGGTTAGAGCGTTCGAGCTTATCCCAGAAGAAAGTATAGTTTTGGCTGAATTCAAATTCTTTCAGGTTCATCTTCTTCATCGCGCCGACGCGGAACAGGTTCAGCCCAGCGAACATCCAGCATCTGCCACTACTTTTCTGGTTCGTAACGCTCCAGTCATCTAACACATGACTGAAGGTGAAGTCGCTGTTGGTGATTACCTGACGGTCGAGGGCGATGTCATCGACGGCGATTTTGCAGACAGCGTTCTGTGCCATCCGATAAACCGGGCTACCTTCAAAATCGTTGCGCAATTTTGTGATTCGGTGTGGGGATAATGTCCCATCTTGCAAACCTTCAAGTGATCTTAATGTATCGGCTGCCATATTACAACTCCTATCTGTTAAAATTCAGTTGGTTTTTGTGCACGCACGGACAGTGCGGGACAATTAAGATAACCCAAGTTACTAGTTGATAAACCGCAAGTTGAGCGTCAGCGAAATCCCGATTTATCAGGACATCAGCGATCGACGAAATGGTCGGGAATTGGAATTCCCTCCTACACAGAACACGCGGTAGGGGGCGTACCCTCCGAATCGCGACTTTCGCTCCAGAAGAGCGATATGTCTATAGAAGGGCGATAGGTCCAATCCACGCGCTCCAGAGGAGCGCAATCTGTATAGCAGAGTTGGTATCAGATCCAATTCTAAGGAATCAGCAGAACCTTACCGGTTGTCTGTCTGCCTTCTAACGCACGGTGTGCATCGGTCGGCGTCTTGAAGCGGAAACGTCCGGTCAATCCGCAGCTTCAATGTGCCAGCGGCAATCCATTCAAAGAGGTCGCCGCGCGTTCCATCAATTCCTCCCGATTGGCAGCGTGATGCCCCAACCCCGGGCGCGTTATAAACAACGAACCGCGCGACAGACGGCTCAGAGCACGTGGCGGCACGCGCTCGACTGCCAACAGTGCACTAGATAACCGCGGGGGCGAAGACAGTTGAGACTCTTATCAAAGGTGGTCTTGGCGACTGAATCGTAGACCACATCAACCCCACCCCCATCGGTTAAGCGTTTAACTTCGGCTTCAAAGTCGGTCTGTGTATAGAGGATTACTTCATCAGCTCCAGCGCCCTTAGCAAGTTCCGCTTTCTCCGGTGTGGACACTGTGCCCAATACACGCGCTCCCAACGTTTTCGCCATCTGAATGAGCAACCAGCCGACTCCACCGGCGGCTGCATGAATCAGTGCTGTGTCGCCTGTACTGAGTGGGTAGGTGCTGCGGGTCAGATAATGGGCTGTCATACCTTGTAGCATCGCCGCTGCTGCCGACTGTGTATCAATCGAATCGGGTAAAGGGACAAGCAGCCCAGACGGCACGATTGCCACCTCGGTGTAGGAACCTTGGTGCATCGCATAGGCGACGCGATCTCCCACATTGACCTCAGTAACGCCGGACCCAACTGCCTCGACCACACCCGCACCTTCCATTCCCGGCGTGAAGGGTATGTTGGTACTCGGATAGAGTCCCGTGCGGTGGTAAACGTCGATATAGTTCAATCCCGCTGCTTCAATGCGTACCCGTGCTTCACCCGCACCGGGCTCACTGATGGCAACCTCTTCGTAACGGAGTGCCTCTGGTCCACCGTGCTCATGAATACAAATAGCGTGCATCTGTCTATCTCCTATTTTTGTGAGAGATTGTAACACGATTGATAAAAAATCTGAAGTTCAACTACCATCAGAGTGCTTCAGGAGCCAGTTCTCGCATTCGGTTTATCCACTGTTCGCGCTTCGGATTTCCTGCGGCATTGGTAACCCACGGTCCGTAGTCAACCCCATTGCCGATAATCTGTTTTTGGGTGACTTCTGCTTCCTCTGGCGTTTTTGGATTATTGTAGTAAACCAAGACGCACATCCGACGATCAACCGCACCACCCCAACTCGCATGCCAGCATCGTACGTCGAAAGCACCACGTCCCCCGGCTCCGATTCAAAGATGTAGGCGGGGACATCAGGGATTTCGAGTTCCAACTCATTCATCTTTTGCCGTAGTTCTCCGTGAAAAGATGGCTCGTGCGAACCCGGTATCAACCGCAACGCGCCGCTCTCCGCAGTCACCGGTTGCAGATAGTAGGCAAACTTGATGCCGTATTGATCCAGGCTACCTGTGTCGGGATGCCAGCGCGTATCCCCGACGTAACGGTTGATGTCAGAGGCGATACCGAAGACATCCTCGCCATAAAGCTGCTCTGCCACATTACAAAATCGTGGGTCTTCCAGTAATGACGCGAGAAGGGCGTATCGGACCCCATCGTTATCAGCCAATGCCGGCGTGTGCCATCGAATGGGTCATCTCGAAACGCCTCCGCCATTGCCGCTTCAAACTCCGTGTTGATGGTCTTCAGTTCGTCCTGACTGAACAACTGCCGAAAAGTCAGAAATCCGAAGGTTTGAAAGTGATTGATTTGCTGTCCGTGAGCATTATGTTACTCCTTCTTTTCCACGCCTTAGAAATTCCCATACTTTGGCATGTTTAGGTATGGGCTTGCTCTGTCATCCGGGAATACATACCATCAAAAAGTATAAGTAATCGTTCCTTCGCTGAATGAAGCAACAGCGTAGGGCGGAAACAGAATACGAATACCAATTGACTGTTCGTTTTCCCGGGTATGCACCTGCCATGGCACATTTTCAAAGTTTTCTATCGCCTCGTATCCATCTCGCCGAAGACGCTCGTTTATGAGCATGAGTAGTTGCTGTTCCGATGTTCCTCTGTTTTTCAGATAGTCGGTGAGCGTTATACTATTGCCGTTGTGTAGGTTGTAATATATATACTGCATATTACCATGCGCGCCTCCTGTGTATTCTCTTTCGGTAATCAAAATGCTTTCATATTCATCAAGTACAGTGCGATCTACGGTAATATCAAGATCAAATGGCAGTAGTGGAGAATTAGGAAACTCTTGACTCAGATCGATGGCACCATCTGTTATTTCTTTTTTCCTTTTTTTGATGTATTCCTCAATACTCCCCTGCTTTAGATGTCCTTCAAGCCACTCCGGTTTTTCATATTGGAAGTTGATCAGGGTAACATCGGAAGGGGTATCAGAACTGTCTTCGGAAGTGTCTGTAGACACCAATATCAAACGCACACCTACCACAATCGCAACAATTACAATCACACCTATTGCAATGTATCTCACCTTCATCATGATAAATGACCTCCTGTTTAATCTTGTCCCATTATCATGAAGATTCCCCTATGCTGCCGTTGGATTGTCAATCCAACGCCGCTAGGAATCTAGCTATGCTGAGCGCGCTGGAGAATGCTGCCTTTAGTTCTTGACAGAAACTTTGCTTTAGTATATCCTTTCGGCATTTACAATTCAATTGAAAAATCCCTTGTGGATTGTGAGCCAACAGGAGAAAATAAAGCGTTCCGGTGAATGGAGGCCTGACGCTAGCACATCTTGATTGCCTCCAGAAGGTTTGCCAACAATTAGGAGATCTCCTATGAGTATCTGGGCAGGTTATTTTGGTGACGGCGATGGAGTGCCCTGAAACGTTTGCTTGGCAGCAAGGCTCAGATGCACACAGGCGCGGGTTTCGGTCTCGGCGTATATTGTACCGATGGCGAGCCGGCAAGGTTGACTGTCAATGAGGCGGGCGGAGTGACGGTGTCTGTCGGTGTTGACGAAGAGGCGGGGACTTCAGCATCGGTTGATCCGGTCAAGAAAACACTGACTTTGACTCGGGACCCCTTCGGATTTCACGGCGTGTACACGGCGCAGGTTGGAGAGGTATTGTGGTATGCGTCAGATGCGCGTGTATTGCAGCGGCTTCCCGGCATCTCCAACCAATTAAACCCCGCTGCGCTACACGGTTACCTCTGTTTTTCATACGTGCCAACACCGTTAACGCTCATCTCTGAAGTGGCCGCTTTGCCTGCCGGGGCACAGGTCATCGTGACATCGAAAGGCGAGAAAAGTTGCGAAAATCAGGCGGCTTGGCGCGAGCTTCCACCGCTGGCGTTGAACGAGGAAGAGGCAATTAGGGAGCTGCGGAAACTGCTACGGATAGCAGTCGCGCAAAGAGTGGGAGCGGAGCGCGAGGTCGGAGTATTACTTTCCGGGGGTATTGATAGCAGCTTCATTGCTGCCTTACTTGTGGAACTTGGTGTGAAGGTTCATCTGTTTGCCCTTGATTTTGGACCGCCGTTTGATGCCGAGTTGCCCTATGCACAACAAGTCGCGGCGCATCTCGGTCAGTCGTTGAATATCGTCTCCGCTCGTCCTCCACAAATCCGATCGGCATTGACCGCAACCGCAGCCGCACTAGAACAGCCTTTCGGCGATGGTGTCACCGTACCGCTCTATCTGCTTGGACAGGCGGCGGCGAAACACGTAAGCCTTATCTTCAACGGTGAAGGCGGCGACCAACTCTTTGGCGGTTGGACAAATAAACCAATGGTTGCTGCGGAACTTTACGCTGGAAAGGATTATGACCGAGAGGCAATGTATCTGAACACCTTTCACCGATTCTATGGGTTTACCGATCAGTTCTATACTTCGTATGCCCAGGTGGCCGTAGACAAAGTAGATGTGGGGGGCTGGTTGCGTCCAGCGTTAGAGGCGAAAGGCTTCAGAAACCTCCTCCACCGGCTGCGTGCAGCGAACCTGTGGCTAAAAGCTGCACAGAACATCGTCCCGCGAGCGACACAATTGGCTGCGGTACATGGCTTACGTGTGCGGTCCCCTTTCTTTGACCGGACATTGACAGAATGGAGTTTCGCGCTGTCACCGAAGTGGCTTTTGCGTGGAGTGTGTGAAAAATACCTACTTAAGCGGGCTGCCGAGCCTTACCTGCCATCCGAGGTTGTCTGGCGCGAGAAACGGGGCATGGGTGTCCCCACAACGGAGTGGTGTCTCGGACCGCTACGGCGAGAAGTTGCCCACTGGCTCAATCCGCGTTCCTTGAAACGAGACAGTTGGTTTGAACCGAAGGCGGTTCGGGCGTTACGGCGAGGCAAAGACGGGTTCGGCGGAGTCCGCCGTCGACGCGTCGGCGAGAAGTTGTGGATGCTACTGATGCTACACGTCTGGCTCGATACGCAGGACAGACCGCCGGTTTGGCCAACGTGACTATGAAGGAGCACGAGGATGAAATGTATCCACTGCGGCAATAATAACAATTACCGAGACCGGCAGAGAAATAGTGGAAGTTGCAAAGCATGTCGGCGTAAGTTTGCGTTTGAGCCATACACCGATCCGTTGAAGATTAGCGACTCGCTTTTCCACCGGATGATTCAAGGCGTATCGGATGATGGTCAGGTCTTCTTTACGGAACGCCAACTATGGTACGAGTTCAATCGGTATCTCTGGCACAAGCGGTTGCGAGGTCAGACAACTGTATTCATGTGGGTTTTTGGTGTTGGCGGGATTGGAGCGTCCATAGTGCTTGCCAGCCTTTGGCCCCTGGTCATCGGTGGCTTAGGTATCGTATTCGCTGCGATTGCCCGCAGCGGCCGTCTGTCCATGTCACGACAGCCATTGGTAATGTTCGACAGTTTTCGCAAAGACGTGGATCGATGGACTCAGGCTCATGGGGAGGTTGAGAAATTGATACAGATCGGGGACCGTCAACCGAATCCTCACCAACGGGAGGCAGAACCTGACCTGACGGCGTATAGCTTCGATCGGGCGTTAGTCACGGACAAGACAGAAGTCGCCGCAATGCTGGTAGCAAATAACTTCCACTTTGAGAACAATTGTGCAATTCTCAGCGTGGCTGGCTATCCAGAAGACATCACCGACATAGTGATGGAAATGCTCCGGCGTAATCCGCAACTAAAAGTTTTTGCCTTGCATGATGCCTCCACCGAGGGTTGTAAGCTGCCGCTCACCCTGCGAGAAGAGAAGTGGTTCCCCGACCAAGCGATCAGTATTATTGATTTGGGCTTGCGTCCGCAGCATGTAAAAAAAATGCGAGTCTTTACGCTAGCAGGTCGACGGCAAACACTCCCTACTGAGGTGCGTGAGTTGCTTACGGCTGGAGAAGCCGCCTGGCTGGAGCGGGGTAATACTGTTGAACTTGAGGTGTTGCGTCCAGTAGGGTTAATACGCGCCATCTACCGGGGATTCACTTATGCTACCCAAATCAGTGACGACGGAGCAGGAGGTGTTTGGATTTATGGTAGCGGTATGGAACTGTATCTGTGGGATAGCTTTGGATAAACGTGGAACAACGGCGGAAAATCGCATGTAATTGGTACAGGAACAGCCCAATGATGGGTGAGTACGTGATGAACAACTTCGTTGGTGTCTTTGGGGAGGTTGCCCCCGTCGCGGGTCTGAGTGCGCTCGGTTCTGACGTCGTCTGGCATGATGAACGTGTTGCCTTCGGCGGTGCGCCGGTGTGGACAGACGCAACGGGTGCTATTGTGGTCAGTGGTGAGTTGGTGCTCGATAACGCTGATGAGCTGCGTCTAAAACTCAGATTGCCAGATGCGGACCCCGGCGTGTTGTTAGCAGAACTTTATCTACAGTATGGAGCGGAAGCGGGTTTGTACGCTCTGGGGATGTTCGCTGTTGCGATATGGGACACACGGGAGAAGCGACTTCTTTTGATGCGCGATGGTGTGGGGGCGCGGACACTGTACTACGCCACAAATGGGCGGGCGTGGTGGTTTTCGGCGCGGTTGCGAGCCCTGCGGCGTAGTCCCGCTGTGTCAAGCGATATTTCCCTGACAGCGTTGCAGAAATACCTGACCTTCGCTTTCGTCCCCGGTGCAGACACGCTTTGGCAGAACGTATCGGAATTGCGCCCTGGTACGACGTTGACCCTACCAGAGGGCGAGACGCAAACCTACTGGGAGCCTGCGGAGAGCGTGTGGGCCCCGGATGAACCGCTGGAAAGCCACGCGATGCGGCTTCGTGAGTTAGTGGAGGATGCTGTACGTGTGCGTCTGCCAGCGACTGGACCAGTTGGCGTCTACCTCTCAGGTGGACTGGATAGCAGCTTGGTGACGGCGTTAGCCGCCCGCGACGCCTCTGGGCCAGTTCATACTTATTCTATCAACTTCGGGTCGAAGTATCCCAACGAGCTGGCATTTTCTAGCCTCGTCGCCGAGCACTGCAACACACGCCACCACATCTTGACGGTGTCCGGAAAGCAGATTCGGGAGACACTGATGGAAACGATGGCCGCACTGGATGACCCGATCGGTGATCCGTTGACGGTGCCGAATCTACTTCTCGGACGGGCGGCGGCGCAGGATACCGATGTAATTCTTAACGGCGAAGGCAGCGATCCGTGCTTCGGAGGACCAAAGAATCTGCCGATGCTGCTACATGAGCTCTACACACCGGATGAGAGCCGTGAGGTAGCATACCTCCGCTCCTATCAGAAGTGCTACGACGACCTGCCCCGCTTGCTTACGTCGGAGGTCCGGGCCGCCTTACGCAAAGCAGAACCACAGGAAACCGTGCTGACACCGTTCCTGACGAATCCAAAGATGCCGCATTTCCTCAACCGCCTCATGCACATTAACGTCCGTTTGAAGGGGAGCGATCAAATCCTGACCAAAGTGAATAACCTAACCACGGTGAATGGGCTGCTCGGCAGATCGCCCCTATTCGATCGTCGCATCGTTGATGCGAGTTTCACCATCCCGCCTGCTTACAAGCTAGCAGGTGCTGAAGAGAAGGCAGTTCTGAAGCATGCCGTCGCAGACTTGTTGCCAGAGGTGATTTTAACTCGGCCCAAGAGCGGTATGCTGGTGCCTGTGCAGGGTTGGTTCAAACGCGATTTACGACGATTTGCGCGTAGACTACTTCTTAGCCGCCGAGCTCGCACACGCCCGTACTTCAACTGCGAGGTTGTGCGTGAATGGCTGAACTATCGCGGCAGTCTCTGGCCACGCCATGGGGTGAAGCTCTGGCTGTTGCTAACGCTGGAGATATGGCTTCGTGCCCAAGAATAATGCCGACAGGAAAGTGGAAGAAAGTTCCTATGCTTAGTCGATATTCCGGGGCTGACTGATTTTGATAATAAACGAGCGTCTGTAGTGACGAAGTGCGTTCTTTTCTAGCAATGCGGCGAACGACTCAAGTTGCCACTGCGAATAAGCCTTGATACGCGACGCTGGATACGTCCGGCACTCGTTGCTTCTCGTTCATCACATTTCATGATTTGGAAGGAAAATAACATGGCAAATACAATCAACCCACCGCAGATCCGACACATGGCAACGCTCTGGACCTTGACAGACTATGGCGATGCGGAGGGAGAATGGCCCATCGATCGGAAGTTAGTGGAGATAAAAAATGCCGGGTTCGACGGTTTTCTCGGTCGAGTGCCGGTCGTCACCGCCGAGCATGTCCAACAGCACGGACTGTTGTTCGCAGCGACTGTGGATATAGGGGAAGCAGCAGAAGTCGAGCCGAAGTTTCGAGCGATCAAAGAGGTGGGAGCGGTCTGTGTCAACGTGCAGATGCTCGACCACGATACCCCGACGGAGGAAGCGATAACGCGGGCACGCCAAGTGATGGAGACCGCAGGCAGGCTGGAGATGGATGTCGCCATTGAGGTGCACCGTGATACCTGCACCGAGACACCGGAGAAGGCTTATGCCCTCGCAGAAGGCTTTGAGAAAGCGGAGGGACGACCGCTAAAGATGACGTGGGATTTCTCACACCCCGCTATCATCAAGCATCTGTCGCCGCCGTACTGGGATCGACTGGCGGAACGGGTTGACCTTATCCAACTCGCCCAGCAGTTTCACTTCCGTCCTTTTAACGGACACCACTGCCAGATCCCCGCGCTCGGTCATGATGGAGAGTTCACGCCGGAGTTCTTGGACTGGCTTGAGTTCGCAGATCGGCTCATCGAGGTCTGGCTGCAAGCCGCAACGCCGGGACGAGAGATGTTTGTCTGTCCAGAGCAGGGCGCGATGGGCTATACGCTATCAGTATTTCCAGACCGATGGAAGGATGTGCAAGCCATTCGAGGTGAGGTAGAGCGAGTTTGGCAAAAGCACATCAAAAACTGGACGCCACCACAATAGGAGTAGTAGGCATACTCCGTATGCCGTAACCTGCATCCATCTCCGTAGGTTGGGCATCCCCGGTCACGGGATCCTCTCGGACTTGCCCGACCCATAGCCCTAGCGGGGCGACATGTGTCGCATTGGATTGATGCGCGATAGATCGAACAAATCACCGCTCGCAGTGGATTGACAAATCCACTGCACATATAGGGAGGATAAAAAGATGCCTGTCTTAACGGCCGAAGATCGAAAGTTCTGGGAGGAAAACGGTTACGTTGTCGTTCACAACGCCGTTCCACCGGAGAATCTCAAAGCTGCCGAGCGGGCTGTGTGGGATTTTCTGGAGATGCAGTCCGACGATCCGGGAAGTTGGTATCCCGACCCGCCTCGCGCCAGCATAATGACTGAGATGTATCAACATCAAGTACTATGGGATAACCGACAGTATCCTCGCGTGCATCAAGCGTTTGCGGAGATTTGGGGAACGGAGCAGCTCTGGGTGAGCATTGATCGTGCCAGCATGAACCCGCCGGAGCTACCGGATTGGAAAATACCCCGGCAAACTTCACTGGGACACCAAATTAGAACCGCCGATCGACTTCTGGGTTCAGGGGGTGTTATACCTGACGGACACCGCAGCCAATCAGGGGGCGTTTACCTGCGTGCCGGGATTCCATCGACAGCTTGAGGATTGGTTGAAAGACCTGACCGCCGGAGGCGGATCCACGCGAGCAAGATCTGGAGAGCCTTGGGGCGCAACCGATCCCCGGAGCAGCGGGCGATCTCATCATCTGGCACACTGCCTTGCCCCACGGAGCAGTTCCAACACAGCAACGCAGCCCACGGGTGGCGCAGTACATCACCATGTTCCCACCGCAGGATATGATGAGGAGGCACGAAACCATCGCCTCTAAAGCGTGGCGAGATCGCCTAGCGGGCTTGGTCATAGAGGTCACCGGTGTGACGACATGGAAGCTCCGAAACGAGAAGGAGCATCAAACAGCTCAGACAGCAGAATTGTCTCCACTCGGACGAAAATTGTTAGGGCTGGATCGGTGGGAAGAAAAGTAGTAGGCATACGCCGCCCCGATGGATCGGGATTCAAAGCAATATGCCGTAACCTCAAGAGTTCATTTGTTCAAAAGTTCATTAATTGCACGAATGAACCAATGAACTAAGGAACCAACATAGCCCCAGCGGGGCGATATGTGTATAGAATATCAAACATCTAACTCCCCTAAAGCCCCAGAGGGGCGACATGTGTGTCGCATTGGATTGAGACACGATACATCGATAAAATCACTGCTCGTCGTTCAGCAACCCGGATCTTATGTAAATTTGGTCATTTCTAGTAGATGTCGAGTATGGAAACTCGACCTACGGGCTATCTAGCAACTTGCGTTATTTTAATCGAAAGAGGAAACGATAAATGGAAAAGCGAGTAGTCGGCAAATCTGGGATTGAGATCTCTGTCATGGGGATCGGCGGTTGGTCCTATGGCGCGGTGACTACTGGGGATCCCATCAAGCCAGCGGATGTTGATGCGGTGGCGCACGCCAGCGCTCGATCACGGTATCAACTTCTTTGACACAGCGGAGGGATACAACGAGGGACGGAGCGAAGAGGCGGTCGGTAGAGCGTTAAAAGGACGGCGCGACGAAGCGGTTGTTGCCACCAAGATCAGTCCGAACAATACCGAGCCCACAGTGCTGCGCGAACATTGCGAAGATAGTCTCCGCCGGTTACAAACCGATTATATCGACATCTATATCGTTCACTGGCCCATCACAGAGCACTCCGTTGAGGATGCCTTTGCAACCTTGACGCGTTGAAGGAGGAGGGCAAGATCCGGTCGATTGGCGTTAGCAACTTTGGTGTAGAGCAACTGTCCGAAGCCCTTGCCACCGGCGTTCAACTCGATGTGAACCAACTCTGTTACAACCTCCTATCACGGGCAATTGAGCTAGAGATTTTACCGTTGTGCCAGAATCACGGATGGGTATTTTAGGGTATATGCCGCTGCTGCAAGGACTCCTGACCGGCATGTATAAGACGGCGGAGGAACTTCCGGCTGTCCATGCGCGGTTCCGGCAGTTTCGCGGAGATCGGGAAAGAGCGGGACATGGCGAAGAAGGGGCAGAGGAGGAGATGTTCGCTGCCGTTGACGGTATTAGAAAAGTCGCCGAGGCGGAGGGAGTTCCCATGAGTCGGCTTGCAATCGCTTGGACCATTGCAAAGCCCGGCATCACCTGTGAGTTAGTTGGCACCCGCAATGTATCAGAACTTGAGGAGAATCTACGCGTTGCGTCGCTTTCTCTCTCTCCTGAGCCTATGGCAAAATTGGATGAACTGACAACGCCGCTGCTACAGAAGCTCGGTGCGAAATGCGGAATACTTCCTAGCGCGACGCACCCATTAATCCAACCCAAGTTGCTGGATAGCCCGTAGGTTGGGTTGAACGGAATCAATGAAAAATGCCGCGCATTACAATTGGATTTGGAGGGGCAATTCTAGTTGGAAGTTCACAAGTAGAGCGAAACCCAACGCTTGATCGTCGTCAGATTGAGATATTGGCTTTCACTTTCTCTACCTACAAGACGGTGGTGTTGAAATACAGAACATCTACTATCCTCTATTAACTTATGCAGTTTGAGTGGGACGAGCACAAAAATCAAGCAAATATGGCAAAGCATGGTATCGATTTTAATGATGCCAAGAACGTATTCCTCGATCCTCATCGTATTGAGCGAGTTGATAGCCGTCAAGATTATGGCGAAATTCGTTTTCAAACAATTGGTATGGTTGAAGGAAGGCTACTATTCGTTGCTTATACCTATCGGGATGAAAACACAAGAATTATCTCAGCAAGGAGAGCAGAACGTCATGAGCGAAGAAAATATCACGAGAGCTACACTTGATCCGGGCAATCCATCAAAGGGAAAACTGACTGGGAACAAGTGGAGACGCAATGGCCAGAGAGGAGATCACGCTGCGGGCCGGGAGGGCATTGTCAGATCCAGATGCGCAACCTGTAACACCAGAAGAACTAGAAGAATTTAAGCCTGTTCCTGATGCTAAGGCGATCCGTGAGGGTATGAACCTTACTCAGAGAGAGTTTGCCTCTCGCTTTCAACTCTCTCTAAGAACACTCCAGGATTGGGAGACAGGTCGACTTGAGTTGGACTCAGCAGCTAAAGCATTGCTCCAAGTGATCGTCCATAGTCCCGAACTGGTCGAGAAAGTCTTGAGCGGAGATAGGAAAAAATCCTACACACTGACGAGGACAGAAACCCGTATCTTTCATTAGTGAACTTTTGAAGGAGAGTAAAAATGACGCTAGACCACGATGTTATAATATCGGCGGCGGGCATAACGGCTTGGTTACCGCGGGGTATCTAGCGGAGGCGGGGTTAGATGTCCTGCTGTTGGAGCGGCGCGATCTCCTCGGTGGCGCATGTGTGACCGAGGAACTGTTTCCCGGCTACCGATTTTCCGCCTGTTCCTATATCTGCCATCTGTTACAGAACAAGGTCATCGAAGAACTGGAGCTCCGCAAGTACGGCTTTGAAGTTATCACCTCGATCCCTCACGCTTCCAACCGTATCCCGACGGCTCACGGTTACTCGTCTGGGACGATGTGGAACGTACCCAAGCGGAGATTGCCCCGGTTCTCCCGCCGCGATGCAGAAAACTTTCCGAAGTGGTTAGACTTTTGGAAACGCGCAGCAGGGATTGTCTACCCATACTTTCTGACGACACCGCCAACGCTCAGCCAAATCGCCGAACGGGTGCGCGGCACCGATGATGAAGCGTTGCTTGACCGGCTCCTCACCGTCAGCATGAAAGATCTGCTGACCGAGTTTTTTGAGTCGGAGGCGATGCGGGGCACGTATGCCCAAGCGCAGGATGCCGGCGACATCGCCGCGCCGGGAAGCGCGTGGGCTTACACCTATATCAAATGCGATAACTTTACCAAACCCGAAAATAGCGGTATTGTCAAGGGTGGAATGGGAGGCGTTACGCAGGCATTGGCCGCATCCGCACGGGCGCGTGGGGCAACACTGCAAACCGAGGCTACAATCGACCATATCATCGTTGAGGACGGGACAGCCTGTGGTGTCGCCCTTGCAGACGGCACGGAAATTCGCAGTCGCATCGTTGTCTCAAACGCCGACCCCAAACGCACCTTCCTCAAACTCATTCCGAGCGAACATCTTAGCCCTAACTTCGTGGAAAGCACTACGCGGTTAAAAACGAATGCCGCTTATCTCAAATTTCACGCTGCCCTCAGTGACCTCCCCGACTTCTCCGCCTACTTCAACGGTGATTTTCGATCCGCGCTACCTGTCAGAAATCAAGATCTGCCCGTCCATTGAATACTATGAGCGTAGTTGGGAGGACGCCAAACATGGGCTGCCAGCAAGTGAGCCTGTGATGGAGGTGCAGGTCCCATCCGTCTACGACCCAACAATGGCACCGGCGGGACACCATGTCATGTCGATCTGGGTGCTCTACGCCCCTGTCCATCTGCGGGAGGGAACATGGGATGAGCGTCGGGAGGAGAGGTCGGTGAGGCCCTTATCGATACCCTCTCCGCCTACGCGCCGAATCTCCGCGATATTATCGTGGACTGGTCGCTGTTCACACCCATCGACTTGGAACGACGGGTCGGTCTCACCGACGGAAACATCCGCCACCTCGATATCATCGCCAGCCAATACCTCGCGCAACGTCCACTCGCCGGTTGGGCGCACTACCGCACGCCTATCACCAACCTCTACCTCTGCGGTGCAGGTACGACACCCCGGCGGCGAAGTAACTGGAGCACCCGGGCATAACGCCGCCGCTGTTATCCTATCGGATTGGTCAAACGCGGGAAATTGAGATTTCCCTTTATCAAAGGCGATATACGTGAGATAGTGGTCTAATTGAGACGCTTCCCACAGTGTTGACAGTAGTTTGCGTTCACATGGACAGAACTCAGGCAGTAAGGGCAATCCTGGGTTTGACGGGGTCGTCGCGGATTCTTGAAGCCGTCTATGACACCGATCAACACAATGGCTACAAACGCTATGAGCAAGACACCGATAATCTCTACCATAATCTTTCTCTTCTCTATGGGATTTATTCCAGCCAGAACGCATATAGTTTCGCTTGCCGCAATATGAAGCGGACGCGCACCGCCTTTTCACTGACTAAACGAGGCGAATCTTCCATATCAATTTTCCGCGCAAATGATCTCCGTTGAGGGGGACGCATTCGCCTTCGGATAGCCCCGAAAGCGGCTGCATCGTCTCCGCATCTAGAATTTCGGCACGAAGTTCGCCATGTGGAACATCTGCATTGACATACAGATCCGCTCCGTCTAGCGTGAATCGCTCTGTGACAACCTTCCCCCCGCTTCTGCGTCGAGAGAAACAAACCCATCGAGTCTCAGTCTTGCCAAGTGCAGCGCACCCGCATCGTTAAAGAATTCGGCGTAGTCTTCGCTGTAGATGCTGTGGTGACCGCGGAAGCGGTGGGCGTTGTGGTAAATCCATATCTCTCGGTTTTCGTGCACGATGGGACGACCGCACACAGCGACCTGAGCGGTGCCGTAATTTATCCCGTCCCACGGCTCGACCCCGATAAACACTTCCCGGTCTGCCACACGCTCCCAGTGATACAGATCGCGAGATACTGCGAGTTCCACTTGGTTGATACCACAATGGTTCATCTGTGGGAGGTCGGGACCAGCAGGATTAAACAGTAACGGGAAACCGATGTACATCCCCTCGTAAGGCATCAGCGGCATCATGTAGAGTTGAGCGATATAATCCGTATCTTCGAGGACAGGTGGCGTGAGATACGCAGGGTTTTCGACAACCTCCTGAATACGACGCTTACGATTCTCTCTATCAATTTCGTCGGTATGCAGGATGAGTTTCGGCTCTGTCCAATCTACAAAGTCCACGCTCGTCGAGAGCCAAGCCGATCGTCCCCATACCGTGCGCTGTTTCACAGTGGCGACATACTGCTCGCTGATTTCATCATAGATAAATGTCGAGGTATCTTCGCTGGGGATGGGCGGCACATCGAGTAAGCTCCAACGGAAACCGTCCGGCGAAAACGCCGGGCAAACGTCCCATATTGCGCGTATCGCTGAAAAGTCCCTTATAGCGACGCTGGGGGTCATCATCGCGTTCATCACGAATGACATGATAAAGGTGCTTCTCAGTGATGTCCGGCGGGTTGTAGACGCCCTCGACGGGTCAGAACTCTAGCTTGGAGTCGTAGGCGATGTTGTGTCCTTCGATCCCTGCCGTTGGTAAAGCCCCAGTGAAGGCGTTTCCCAGTGAACCCCATCCGTTGATGTCGCGTAATGCTTACGACTGCTTTCCGTGCTCCCACCCTCCCAGCCGGGCGGAATAGCATAGTGTGCATCATACCACCATTCCCAGATCTCTTTTTCAGAGTTCCATTGCGGCGCGTTTCCGCTCTGGACATACACCTGCTCACGAGAACGGTCAGCTTTTTAGGATAGGACCGTACCTGTCAGGTTGATGCAATGTCCGGCTCACGTTGGACATGCTCGCTATGGCGTGGTCGTCGAGGAATAACTGTTTGTGTTGCGCCGGATTAATGTATGCGTGTGTCATGACACCGTTCCTTTCAGGATGGCAGAGAGGGTACTTGTGTTATCCGATAACCATTCTCCTTACCAGTAAGCGATAGCTTCGGCGATTTCACCGAGATGTGTTCCATTCCAAGTGACATCTGCCACGATGGGAAGCGCGTGGGTGGTAAAACGCTCTGGAAAGGTGGCTTCCACTTGACAAGTAGTATTGGTGTTTCCAGACACTTGAAGGTCTATCGCTGTTGGGGACAGCTGCACACCGTCAACAGAGCGGAAGCGCAGGGTGCACTCCCGCGCTTCCGATTCATGGTTCGTGATATTGATGTTGAACGGCACCGTCTCTCCGGGTTGGATGCGAACCTTGTAGGGATAAAACTCTACCCAATGCGGATCCATCCCCATATTCGGGTGCGGTTGGTCGAGGATCTGCGTAAAGAGATCCGTCCACCGGTCCATCCAATCCGTCCACCGTTCCGCTTTCGCGCGATCAAAAGCGACGCAACCGCCATGACCCGTAAGGATAAAGTCCGGCGCACAATCGAGAATCTGTTGGGGCATATCCCGGTAGCTCGAAACCGGGGTCCGATTTTTGGGGATGAATGAGTGGATATGGTCCCTTTGTTCCCGGAATGAGAGCCCAGAGATGTTATCACCGACGCACAAGAATTTCTGCTCATCCACCGTGAACCAGATGAGGTGATGGTAAAGCGTCTGCCCCGGATGCTGTTCAACGAAAAATTCAATCCCGCGCCACCGGAAAGCCTCTCCCCGTTCAACGACGTGGTCTACTGTCATTCCGTGCGGCACCGCACAAGGCATGTCGTAATTTTCTGGGTGCTCTAGGATATCCTTGAGTTCAGGAGACGACACCACCCGCGTCCCGTAACGTGCTTGCAACATCGGGTAGCCGGCAAGATGGTCGTCGTGATAGTGGGACGGCAGAAACCATTCGACGGTGTGAACTCCCAACTCCGTTTCGAGATAAGGCGACAGTTATCGATAAAACGGTGGGGGTTGGCACTGATGGGGGCGTTAGATGTGTAGCCGCAGTCGATAAAGAGCGCGTGTCCCTCATCGTCCCGGATAATATAGGTGTTCGCACTGGAGTTCGTGACCTCGTAGACATGCTGCGTGATTTGACGAAATTCGGGGCGATAGTATTCGTAGGGTTGGGCATGAAAGAGTTCATACAAGTTCCTCCAACGCCGCCTGTAGTTCGGCAAACGCCTCCTTGGTCGGTTCAAAGGGTTCGCCGTGCCCCGGCAGAATGAGATCTGCGTTAAGCCCCGCAGCGGTCTTCAGACTCTCCAGATGATTGATATGCCCTTGGAAGTCCATATAGTTCCACTGACTCCAGAAATAGTCTCGAATTTTCCCGCTACCCGACATCAGGTCCCCGCAGGCGAGTATCCGCTGTCCATCTAACTCGAAAAGGTAGCCCACCGAGCCGAAGGTGTGACCGGGCAGCGGAATCACATCGAAACGAATCCCCTCCCATGATAGGCTCTCGTAGTCGTAAGCGTACTGATCCGGCGCAATATCTTCCAACGGACCGAAGCAGGGATAGTAGGAGGTGTAGTTGTCATAGATGTCGTAGGACGCCTTGAGGAGATCTGTTTCCTCGAAGAAACGCTTTTCCGCAAACGGGAGAACAATCTGTGCGCCGCCCCTGTTCCAGTGGGCTGCAGCAGAACAGGTATCCCGATGGAAATGGGTCAGTAACACCTGATCGACCTGCTGCACACCGTTGGTCTCAAGTTTTGTCGGGGAGGTCCCCGCAGTCAATTAGTAATGTTTTATCGTTTGCGGTTACTCCATAAACGCTGCATGTGTCTTGAATAAAAAAAATATTATTGGTCAATTTTCTCATAATGGGCTGCCTCGTTTAGATTTGATTTTGTATTGCTGGCTGGAAAACGCAATTCAAGATGTGCTGAATCTCCTTACTCTCTTTCCATAAATGCCGGAACATCAATACATTCCCCATTTCGACGGGCGGACTCCCAGCCTGCGAGCACCGGGGCTAAAGAGAAAAGCCCATCGTGATAGTCATTCAGCAAGAGACCGGGGATTGTTGGTGCGTACCGCTTCAATGAAAATGCGGTCCTGCTCAAACCACGGGTCGAACGCCTCCGCTTGATAGACCGTTTCGCCGTTGACTTCGATGGAGTCGTAGCCGTAGATCGCCAGATGTCCACCTTCATAGAAGATTGTAAACCACGGTTCAGCCCGAAAGTTGGGAGCCGCCGAAACGAAGGTCAGCGTCATCGTCGCTTGGTTGGAGAAAACAGTAGTTGAAAGGAAGAGGTCAGGGGATGTGATACGATGGTCGCTGGCAGTAGAACGCTTGCGCTCGGTCAACGTTCAAGCCTGTCATGAAGCGTGAGTAGTCTGTCGCGTGGACGCCCCAATCCAACGCCTGCCCGCCCGACTTTGTCCATCTCAGACCACCAAGAATCCTTTAGCGATCCAGATAGAGGTTCGGGCAACCCGCTGACGCTCTGGAATCGGACATGGACAATTTTCTGTCCCTTCCAGACGTCTACGCGCCTCCTGAAAAATTGGGCGATACCGTTCCCGGAAACAGACAGTGCTGATTACGCCGGCACCCCGAATCGCATCGTCAATCTTATGGGCGACCTCCATCGTCAGTGCCTGCGGCTTCTCGCTGAAAATATGAATCCCTTTTGCGGCGGCGGTTGCTTCGACATCAGTCCGCGCATAAGCCGGGACGACGGAGTAAAGCGCGTCCATATTTTCGTTATCCACCATCTGGTGCCCGTCGGCGTAGGTTTTGGAAATATTAAACGCTTCGGCGGTTGATTTGAGCGACTGTAGGTTGCTATCACAGATGGCGACGATTTCGACGCCATCGAGTTTCAGTAGGTTCGGGATGTGGGTTCGATTCGCCCAAGACCCGCATCCATAGATACCGATACGGATCTTACTGTCTGTTGAAGCCATGAAAAGATTTCCTCCGTTATGCCAGTCCGATTGAGTTGACGCCCAACATAAACCTAATCTTTGCGCTATGCTCAAGAGGGGTTGTACATATAAGGTTTATCCCTTTAACTTTTCCCATCAGATGCCTTCCAGCGTAAACCGCATCTGATTAAATCGTCCCGCCAACGCAGTCGCCCGACGTTTAACACCTTCGAGATCATCTCCCTTCAACGCATCGACGATGCAATCCGCAACCTCCGGCACATCCGCCTCTGTCATACCGCGTCGGGTCACCTCTTGGACCCCAATCCGTAAGCCGTGCGTCCCCAATTCCGGCGGAACACTCGCCGCACCGGCGATGATATTACACGCCTCAAGCTGATCTGCCATCGCTTTGCCCTCACCAAATTCGTCAACAATCGGTATCAATGTGTGCGATTCCGTGAAGCCAAGTGTCCTGCCCGACAAACGAATCCCCCGCTCATGCAACGCTTGCCCCAACGCCTTTGCGTTGCTAATGATTGCGTCCGCATGTTCCGCACCGCAAGCTAGCCACTCCAGAAATGTCCCCGCTAACGCCGGCAAGCGACCGAGGTGATGGTTACTCTCAAGCAGAGGGGCAACCGCAGGACCAATCCGTTCTGCGAGAGATCTGTCGTTCGTCAAGATTATCCCACCTTGCGGTCCAGCGAGGGTCTTATGTGTGCTGGAAATAATCACGTCCGCGCCTTCCGCCAACGGTGACTGAAACCGTCCGCCGGCGATAAGCCCCATGACATGAGCGGCGTCATAGATCAGGTATGAATCGGGAGCGTATCGGTTCATCGCTTCCTTCAGTTCGCGCACCGGCTGCGGAAAGAGAAACACCCCCGACCCAATCGTTACCAGTTTGGGGCGATGCTTTTGGATGAGCGCAATCGTCTGATCGAGTCAATGTTAGACCTAACACCATCCCACGGGATAGGGATAGATTCGAGCGACACCTCCAACGAGGACGAGGCTAACTTGTGTGCATATTGGTGACCGTTATGAACCTCTAACGCAATATCGCCGGGACTTGCCAACCCAAAAGTGGTTGCAATGCCCGCAATGTTGCCGGAGAGCGGACGGAGATCGACGTACGCCGCGCCGAAGAGTTGCTTTGCCAGTTCCTGCGCCATTCCTCGATCTGGACGATGAACCGATTCCCTTGGTAAAGCGCGTCCGTAGGTCAATACCGCTGTAGTTCCCGTAACGCTGATCCAAATCTTCGACCAGCAGCCTCTCCACCAACGGACTCGGAACATTTTCAGAGGCAATAAGATTTAGACAGTCTCCGCGAAACGTGTTGTGCTGCTCCAATAGGGAGTTAATCTCTTTGACTTTTTCGTTAAAATCCATAGAAACCTCATTCTGGACAGATTTTTACTTCGTTCGGGAGCAGATTCGCCCCTATATTGCCCCGATGTCACATCCCAGTTTTCCAGTAGGGCTTGGTAGGTTGGGTCTTCATAACGCGAAAGCAGAAACGCGGCGCGTATTCGGGAAGTTCACCGCCGGTGACGTGAGTCGCTAACAGCTCCCGCCGCCTGAGATGACATAATGCCGTAACCTGACAGTCCCCCAATCACATACGCACCCTCGACCGGCAAGGGACCAATCAACGGTCGATTCTCCCGCGTCTTGCAGTAATACCCACCATCGGCGTATGCTCTGCCTCCGTGACCAAAATACGCTGACAGATCGGGAATCATCCGGGCGAGTCCACGTATCAGGATTTCAGGGATAATCCGGATCGAAACGTCGGGGGGCCAAACGGGCGGCTGAGGTTCAATATCGTAAGTCCAAATGGCAAGCAGCACATGGGTATCGCCGTCCATGCGCGACCGGAAATGAACACCAGCGGGAAATTCATCGAGCAGCCAACGCGTCTCGTCATCCGCTGCCAACTTTTCACGTTCTGCATCCGTCCAAGGCAACCGAATCGGATCACTCCAAAACAGCAGCGGTGTGTCCGTCGGCACAATTCCCAACTCATCTCGGAGGGCAATCTTCCCGTGCAGCTCATTGAAAACGGGGATGTCCACCCCTATCATCGCGCCAACCTCCTTGAGATAGGGACCCGCAGCGATGACGAAGGTGTCGGTGTTGATGCGATCCCGGATTGAAGGTGAATCCCTGTGACCCGATTGTCAGTGACGGTACACTCTTACACGATCACGGAGGTGGCGAACACCAGCGCGTTGTGCCTCGTTAACTAAACCATTTACCCAGCTTTGGGCATCTAGCCAGCCTGCACGGCGGACATGCAACGCTGCTACCGCATCTTCCGCCACAAACGGAAACTGTTCCCGGACGAGATCCGGCGAGAGCAGCAGATCTACGCCGTGGGGTGATACCCTCAAAACCTTCGGACGGTGAGGGAGTAAGGGGTGGACCCGGATGCTCCCGAATCGGTCCTGCACCGAGGGCAGAGGTCTCAGCAGCGGCAGCCTTCATGACGGGGATGTGGCGATCGTCCGCTGTTAAGAAGACATAACCGCGTCGGTTCATTTGGAAGCTAGTTATCCGTCGTCTCGTGCCAGCTCCTCAGAACAGATCAATGGAACGATTCACGAAACACCACCATCGTATCCCCGGGACCAGGCCACCAGTTTCGATACGCTTCCGTCCCTTTGTTGCTCGTAAGCGTCAGCGGCTCCCTCTCATCCACGAGACGATATTCGTAACTCCACCCCGGACTGCCAGTGATACTCCCGCCGCAATCCCAGCCATCCCCGCACCGCAAATGACAACCTCTGACTTATGCTTGTCACACCCAAATCCCTTCTTCAGAAACCAGTATTCGATTCTTGCTCTCACTCCACAATTCACCTGAATCTAACATAGGGCATCGGCTGAAAAATGTCAAGCAAAAATTAAGGCTCAGAGATTAGGACTGTGTGAGCATTAGGCTTTTTGGCATCTTTCTTGTGCTAAAAATTATGAGTTTAGACTTTATATTTTGTTGCAATTGTGGGGGAACTTGTTAAAATGAAAAAACTCAGCTGCTGAATAATTGACGCCTACTTGCTAGTGTGTACACGCCATGACTTAGATATCCACTGCCTGATTAGTTTTATTTTAGTGAGCGGCCCTTCTCCCACTAGGAGACCGGGAAGTGCTGCGCTTTTGATGGCATTATTCCCCCGCCAATTGCGTATAGACATCAAAATTAGGTTAATCATAGGATGAATAGGAGTGATAATGCGGTACTGTTATGGATTTTGATTCCTCTTCACTTGTTAGGTTGTAGTGAGGGCATTTTCAACGATGATGAGATGTTGAGTCAACCACTGCTACTGAGCCAGCTGAAGAGTACCGTAATCCGACTATCACTATTAAAAGATTGGAAAGTGAAAAGGTGGAGGAGGTCCCTGCGGCAGGGGGAGAGGACAATACTTGGCGACTTCATGCAGATCCGCTCCGGGAAAGACGTGGTGGTAGTTCATGTTAGTATTCCAATTTCTAATAATCATAGTGTAGACATTGGGGTATTGATTCCTAAGTTTAGCCTACCTCAGGAAGTTAGTGATAATACCATACGGCGGTGCTCTGAAGTTGTTGCTTGCCGATGGTGTCTATTGTAGGTGAAGGTTTAGTAGTTAATGTTGAGAAAATTCGAGAAGGTTTGCTGCCTAGCATCACATACGAGGGATGGATGGTACCAACGGATTTTGATTTCCCTTGTATAATGTTGGGAATCCGTCACAATTTATGCGACTGAGGGTGGAGGGACTACTGCTTTCTAATCAGTCCAATAGCCATGCTGATCCGCCCATTTATTGCTGACTAGCCCCAAATATTAAGGAAGAGTAGGACCG